ATTTCCAAATTAATAAGCACCCTCATTGAGCATCACACTTAAAGCAGTCAGTGTAAAACAGACTGCACACTGCACACTGCACACTGCAGACCGCAGACCGGGGGTAAAATGCAGACTGAGGGTAAAATGCAGACTAAGGGTAAAATGCAGACTGAGAGTGAAATGCAGACCGAAGACCGCAGGGCAGGAGTAAAAGGTAGACTAAGTTCTTTGGTTGAAATTTTTGAAAATTTCTGGTTTCTCTAAATGACTAAACTTAAAAGGAACTTGAGACTTCTACTTGCTCTTAATTTGTTTCAATTTAAGGAAGACTCCGCCATTTTTCCAGTGAATAACAATACGTCACAGCAAAACTAGATTTCCTAAGCATCCCTTGTCAGCCAACAACAAGCCCAACATAGGCTAAGTTAACCATGAAAGTCGCAGATTTACCTCAGGTTGATACTGAAGTGAAACCCCGAGCAGAATAAGGAAAGGAAACACCTGGGGATATTGTTTGGAGGTTTTTAATTAGAAGCTTATCTTGCACCCACAAATTTGCATTAAATTGAAAAAATTTGCGCGCCTAACTTCGCAGCACAAAACAGGTATAAGAAACAGGTTTTATTGTCCAAGTAATCGAAATTGCCGATGTGTGATTAAAGACTATCGCTATTGCTTTCAAGGTCTGCAACTCTTACCACATTTTGACGTCCTCTGTGATCTATTACTGAACAGACGCACGGCAACTTGGAATCTATTTGTTAAACATATAGAACACAAATCAATAAACTTAATGTCCAATTTAAAATAAGAAATACTTATTATGCGTTGATGACTCTGGGGGCTAGGGGGGTATACACAAGAGAGATTTGACATAATGCCTACGTAGTTTGTATATCTACTAATTAATGAAACCGAGAAATAAATCTTGGCATTTAAATGAGCTCCAGTGCAGGTCTCTTACGTTTATTTTCCAATCCACGGCCTACATTTGTAAAAATAACTTACTTCTCGGAAGCACAATCATTAGTCTTCTTATGCAATTTGGTCGATGATTTTTCAATTGTTCATTTAAGTGAAAAAAGAAATTTCAATCTTAAATTAATCATGCGGAATCACTTAAGCCAAAATTATGCTAGTAGGCGGGAAACACAATTTGGCCTGGTTACTAAAACCAATATGGCGGATGGCAAGTGGAACCTCTATAATGGGGACAATTTCGATGATTTGGAGGACGAAGATGAATCCAACGATTGGGCTGAAACGTTTATTGGGGGAGAAAATCATTTGATAAATTATGACAACGATCCTTCAGAGAAAAATACACAAACGGAGAAGAATTTGAGGAATGAAAATCTCCAGCGAGGTAAAGAAGATGTTTACGAGAACGACAACAAAGAAAAAAGCCTCTCCAGGATGGAGCTTAATGATCATAAGGCAGGCATGGTAGGTTTAGATAAACAAAAAATTAACCAGATCATATTTGAAGCGAGTAGAGGCTCCAAGTTCTATGAAAATGAATTAAAGAAAGAAAAGCAAGTGGCTGAACGGATCGCTAAACAGAGCACGTCCCTTGGGAAACTCACCCAGCCGCAAAGAAAAGAGGCTTTACAGGCCATCAACCTTATTGTGGAAGAGTTGGAGAAGAAGCGTGATTTAAGCCGTACCTTTGTTCATATCGATATGGACGCTTTTTATGCTGCAGTGGAAATCTTGGACAATCCTGAATTGCGTGACAAACCTATGGCTGTGGGTGGTAACTCGATGTTGTCTACGTCAAACTATCCAGCTAGACGTTATGGCGTAAGGGCAGCCATGCCAGGGTTTATCGCCAAGAAATTGTGTCCTGAACTTATCATCGTTCCACCACACTATGAAACATACAAGGAATACAGCCGCCAGGTGCAAGATATTTTAGCAGAGTATGACCCTAATTTTGTGATGGCAAGTTTAGATGAAGCATACTTGGATCTCACAGAGCATCTCAGTGAGAGACACAAATGTCAAGAAAAGAGGAGGTTCTTGACATCTAAATACCAGACTATTGGAAAGGTAAAGAACGAAGTGCATCCAGACCCTAAACAGATGGAGGGAGAAATTGTTGAGTTTGGTACTGATGCGGAAGAAGCTGTCAGGGAGCTGCGTTTTCGAATTGAGCAGAAGACAAGACTAACAGCTAGCGCAGGAATAGCACCAAATGCCATGCTAGCAAAGATCTGCTCAGATCGTAACAAGCCCAACGGACAGTTTTATTTAAAACCAAGTCGTGGTGATATCATGGAATTTATGCGCAGCCTTCCAATCAGAAAAGTGAGTGGAATTGGGCGAGTCAGTGAACAGATGTTGAAAGCTCTTGGAATTGAGACATGCGAAGATTTATACACTAAACGAGACTTGCTCTATCTTCTACATTCACCAATCAGCTTCAAATTCTTGATAGAAGTTTCTCTTGGTTTGGGACCTACCTCACTTGCGACAGAATCGAAAAGGAAAAGTATAGGAACAGAAGAAACCTTTTCAGAGATAAGCAAACCCACTGAGCTACTGGATATGTGTGACAAGCTTTGTCAATCAGTGGCACAAGATATAAAAAAGCAAAAACTTAAAGGAAAGACTGTCACGATAAAGCTTAAAACAGTGACCTTTGAAATAAAATCTCGGTCTTCATCCACTGTTTATCCCGTTTCGACGTACGAGGAAATTTCATTAGTTGCAAAAGAGCTTCTGAAACATGAAATGAGTGCGTGTTTTCCTGATCATCTGAAGCTGCGCCTCATGGGAGTCCGTTTATCAAATCTTGAGGATACAAGCGCAAACTCGTCAAAAGAAGCAAAGCAGAACACAATAACAGGTTTTTTGAAACAAAAGCAAAATGTAAGGTCCCAGGGAATGCCAGTTTCTTTTCCAACCGCCCAACAATTGAACTCAGGAGAACATTCTGGCCTTACTTCACCGAGTCAATGCTGTCCAAAAGAAGGTGACGTCATGACAGGAGCGTGCGCTTGTCAGATGACTGACCAGCTTGGTTCCTGCCCTATTTCTTTCTCATCTGAAGGTATTGCTTTAAATTCAATTTCAGAGGAATCATCGTCACTATCTGGTTCTGCCTCAACTTCAGGTTCCATTTTCTTGAGTGAATATTCTGATAATACAAATCATTCTACTGTGTTTTGTCCTGTATGCCAACAAGAACAAAAGTTTAAGAGTGGTGAAGACGTTATCACTGAACTTAACAGACACATAGACTTGTGCCTTAATAAGGCCACTATAAAGGAAATAGCGTCAGAGAAAAATCCAGGACGATCATTAAAAGATGATAACGTTGTGTGTAGTTCTAGAAGTGGCTCTGGTGTGGATAGGGGAACCTCCAGAGGAAAAAGAAAAAGACAGCAGTCAGCAGCAACCTCCCAGAAAGCTACGTTGCTTTCTTTTTGGTCAAAATCATGAAAAATTCCAAAATATGGCTAATTTACCAAAGAAATAGACTTATGAATAACCCTTGTACTTGATATGCATTTAGGTAGTTCCCCCTTTGGATGGGAAATAAGTTAAAATTTATATTACGGCATTTTGTGGTCACAAGTCGGTTTTTTAACAAATATTTAGCATTATAAGTAAAACTTGAATGGCAAATACAAGGATAAAGTTGATTTAGTAAGAAGGGGCTCAATTCAGAATATCGAATACCTCAGTCACCGTAAAGTCTCGATTCTATTGAAGATCATGTGGCGCTGAACAAAATTTCAAATCTCTCGGACGATTAAATTAAAGCCCAATTTTAGTTGCGTGCGCAAAATAGGAATTGAGTTAGGCGCCGATCGATTCGAAGCTTTAACATCCCCCTTTCCGGGCAATCTACAGGAATTTTACCGTTGTCTGTGCCTGGGGTGTAGGGAATTTTGACCTTGCCTGGCTAGGGTGGGAGTGATTAGCTCAAAAGAAGAGGTCTTCATGGTCTAGGTTCTTAGGAAGGGGGAACAATTTCAACAAACCAATTTTCAAAAGTTCAAATATCCGGGGGGTTGTCCAAGGGGATGCAGAGGCTGAGAATTGACCGACTCATATCTGATATCCGGTGAGAAAAAATGAATATCAGCCAATTCGCCGATCCTTTGGAGTCAGTTGTCAAGATTGGACGCGTATGAACTGTGTCATTGCTGCACTTAACAAGTACTTAGAAGAGTAACCCTAGGTGTGAAAGTGTAGATTGTGTCGAACAGATAAAGGATGTGATAGGTAACTGAGTTGCCACATATTACACTCTTGATTTTGTTGTCTATTGATATTAAATTTCCGGTTGGAACTTATTTCTATGACTTCAAGGAAAAATTTTCCAATTGGTAGAGCACTTTTTACGGACTAATTGCTGCGAAGTATCGCACCGTGAATACTTTGAAACCAGAGGAGCTCAGAAAAATGATTATTTCGAACCTGACAATTTAGTTTACTGTCGCAACTTTAGACTAACAACGACAACAACGTTTTATTGACTTATAATATGTCAATTAAATCATTATTCTTTGATTTTATAATATTGTAGATTGATTAAAATTATTAACTAGTATCAAAGGTGTATTGTTACATAAGAAGCTAAGTTAACCAAAGGTTTTCCTGTTAGCTCCCTCTTAAGAGGATGTTCAGTCAAAATTGCACCCCCATTTCTTCTTCAATGTTTGGCTTGAGAGTGGTCAGTTTGCGAGTGACGTGTTCATATCATCGAAGCACTTCTGATTAGTATTATGCAAATGATGATGGTAATATTTGTATAGACGTATCAACTCATTATTTCCATGTTTCACCGCTTCAAACTGGGATGAATGCGACTTGATTTTTTGCAGTGATTTTTATTTCACCCTATTTTTAGTGCTTCTACACGGAATAAGAGGGCAACGAATGCAAATATATTCCTAGTTTAAGTAGTTGATTTTGTGTGAACTCGCAATATTCGCTTTCTCTAAGACTATTGTTATGTTAATGTATGAGCTGATTATGACATTTAGAATCTTTCAAAAGTGAAAAAATCTCCACAACGATCAATTGAACGCAAGGAAGTGATAAGCGGGTTTCGTGTTGACGCTCAGGCTGGTAACAGCCTAAATATAGATGTGATCGGATAACATAAAACCCTGTTCGGGGCGACCACATTTCGAGGAATCGACAGTTAAGAAATCGTGTTGCTTCTTGCATCTGATCATTTGAAAAGAGATTTCGTTCATGGAACGTGCCAACATTCGTCTGATAGCCCTAGTGATCGTGTATATATTCTACCTGTCTGTGGGAGCTGCCATTTTCTCGTCGATCGAGGGACCTTACGAGCAACGCATTCTGTCAGATCTGAGACGAAAAAGAGATGATTTTCTTGCGAAACATCCTTGTGTTACTGACAAAGAACTTGAAAACTTTGTGAAGCATGTTGTGGCGGCTCAAGACATGGGAATACCGCCACTCGGTAACGCAAGCGATAAAAGGAGTTGGGGATTTGGTAGTTCGTTCTTCTTTGCCGGTACTGTCGTAACCACAATTGGTAAGTAAATGAAAATTGCTAAAAGCAGGTGACCGAGTGGCAGGTCTAATAGAACCCGTATTTACCCGTTACTGAAATAAAATAGCTTTATTCCCACCTAAGTGAGGTTAAACTGCTAATTAATGTACAAGATTATTCCGGCTTAGGCTTTCGATTGCGTGCACTTTTACTTGTCAGTTATGCGTTTCTTTCGACCGGCAGGGCCCTTCATATACACAGGCAAAGTCTACCATATTATTCGTGAAAAATTGTTCCCTAGGAATTTAGTCTTCACAAGTAATACGTTGCAAGGACTGAAGCATAGTGATAACATCTCTTTGAAAATACCGTGGGCCGACAAAACTTTTCATCTTACAAGGTATCTTTGATGGAATTGGACCATTTATTTCATTCAGAAGTTACGTGCGTGCGCTGTGTTGGATAACATTTACGTTTGAAGTCATGGTTTCGTTTTTTCATGTGAAACATCTTGCATCTGATTAGTCACAAAACAATTGCAATAACCACAGCTCTTGGGCATGATTGACCTTTGAAAGTTGCCAAAGGAACAGAAGGATTAAAAATATTTCGATGAAAACGATTGTTACAGTTGAAAGGAAAACAACTTTTCAACTTGGATTTCTTGAAATTTCTCAATTTCTCTGCGAGGTGGTGTCCCTTTTTATCAGCAAATACGGGATCTCTAAGAAAGAACTACAAGGTCAAATTTCTACATCTTTCTGTGTTTCTTGTCGCTGCGAAAATACTGATCGTTCTCTTTTCAGATATTTTTCAATATTTATTTTTCGAAATGTCATCAATGATTCTTCCACCAGCGTATTGAAAAAAATTATAAAGATTTTAATAAAGCAAAGCCAAACACTGAAAGGTAACTCGCAAGATTACAATTACTCGAGGATCTTTAAGGAATTCATTCAAAAAAAGAAAGGGAAAAAAAAGAAAACTATGCAAAAATATTGTCGACTATGTTTTATGTAAAGAATGTGTTTTAATCTGCGTTATTACTCTTACGGATTTAAGTTTTTTGTAACAAACGGTGCTTAATCGATTTTTCCTCAAAGTCAGTACATTGCATGATAAATAAATAAGCACGAAGATGACTGACTTGGGGAGTTGCTTGATTGCACACGTTTCAACTAAGCGTAACCTCTAATCTCATCAAAATGGGAGTTCATAACTTATGAAAAGAGTTTATAATCTCTTGCTTTTGAAAACCCTTATCGAATGAACAAGCGTTTTCATTTGGCTTGCACAGAAAACACTTCATCGAAACTGAAATCTGCAACTTGTGTCCTAACTACACCCAACGATGGAAAAACGTGCGCGTGAAGCGGTCTATAGAATAGCCCTGGCAGCCGCTTTGTGGAGCACGCAGTTTTTCGGTTTTCTACAAGTTTATGCAGCAGTACCAATCAAAAACAGTAGTATGAATGGTTTTCGGGGTACTCGCAGAATTAGTATGTACCTGTTGACTGAGTGGGAGGGCCAGACGGGAAAATATTTGGCTCGAGGTCATGACGTTCCTACCAAGCGCAGTGAGGTTCGCGTGTCATGAACTAGAGCTAAATATTTTCCCGTCCGGTCCGACCCTACTCAGTCAATAACCATTTTATCACATGTCCACCTACAATATTTTGAAAATTCGAAAGGTTTTATTTAATTTTAGTAGGACGCGATAGACTGGCGCGCGCGGGAAAGCCATAAAAAAGATTCAGCAATTAAAACTTCTTTGTTTTTCGGAGTGAGAACAAGAAACTCACAATTCATCAAAACGTGACTTATTTTGTCACTTCTGTTCACTGCTCTCGCTTAACTTTGCAATAACAGAGAACAGTGTTCTTTCTTCTTTTTTTTCTTTTTTTTTTTTTCGTAACAAAGCCGTACAAGTGCACTAGGGCAGGACGGCTTTTTCCGGACCGGCTCACGTTAACCCGTCCTGCCCTACACACGTCAGCTTTTACGATGGTTTTCTATGGCACTACACAAGCTGGGCCGGACGAGTCATATGATCATTTGCCTTAATGCCTATTGTAATGTTATTCCCTTCTTAACTAACCACAGCTTCTTCCGCAGGAGAAAATTAATCAGTTTTACTAACAGATAACAACTATGAACAAAGGATGACAACTATGAACAACTATCCACCGAAGTGGAGGTGGCCAGCGTTAGACATTTCTCCGCAAGCCACCGATGAAGTGAATAGTCGCTTTAATATATATAAAAACAGAACGATTTTAACTTGTTTATTTCTGCAACGAGTACAATTATTTCGGGCGCAAATCCTGCGCAAGTAGCTCGGAGGTGAATAGCAAGGGATATTCGGATTCTGAGTAGCCAATCAAAGCGCGCCTTCATTCCTACTTAGTATATACTGCGATGATATATGCAAAAATCTTGTTATCAGATATTGACTGATATTTACTGGTTTTGTTTTTACAAAACCCCCGGGATCTGATATGCAACTTTGTTTTTCAGGATACGGGAACATTGCCCCTTTGTCGGATGGTGGAAAGGTATTTTGTATGGTGTTCGCAGTGTTTGGTATTCCCATGACAGCTATCATGTTGACAGCCATAGTAGAACGACTCCTTCAGTTAACCGAAGTATTGGAAAAGTTTCTGTGCAGTACTTGTACCGTACGTGGTGTTCCAACCGCTTATTTGCGCTTCCTTCATTTATCACTGATCATGTGCGGCGCTATCACACTAGTCATGATAATTCCAGCCTTCTTTTTCATGTTCCTCGAAGACTGGAGCTACTTTGAAGCGTTGTATTTCTGTTTTATTTCCTTAACTACCATAGGACTTGGAGACTTTGTTCCTGGTGATGACCCGAAGTGGCGGAGGAGTGAATACCGCTCACTTTATAAAGTCTGCTGTGTGTTTTTCTTCATCACTGGACTCACATTCTTGCTCCTCATATTAGAGCTTTGCGCCAAAATTCCGGACGACCATCCCGGTATGCTTTTCTCTTGTCACAAACCATTCCTCCAGGAGGACGAGGAGGACATTTCGGCTTCAGCAATCAAATTGCGTCCGCGATATTCGATATCGAGTAGCGGAAGTTCACCGTCATCGCCTGACAGGCAAAGACTATCCAGAAACTCTTATGAGAGAATATCCGGCCGAGACAAGGAATCTAGATGACGTAAAAAAAGCTAATGAAATACTAATGGCACATATTTTTGGCTAAGCCGGCCCAAAATGGAAGCTCTTAAAATTCAATGCGGTGAAACTTCACTAAATAGGTTCCTCTTATATATCTAACCTGTACAAAATAATAGTTAGTTGCCCAGAGAATTCTCTAAATCAGTTGGAAAAGCTTGATTTCAAGCCAGCTAATTAAATTTTTAAGCTCCCATTTCGCTTCACTACGTCACGAAATTAAATTCCGAGGGTTATTTGTAATTACAAAAATTGTTCAGTCAAAAACTATTTATAAACATGCAAGAGTCTGCATTTTTACAGGGTGGAGGGCTGCAGGTGGGATCTCTTTTGGGGGGGGAAGAGAGAGAAAGCGAAAAATGGCTTCAAAGGGGGGGTCATACCAAGAAAAATAGAGGGAAGCGGTGGTCAACCGAAATATTTCAGCATTTGTAGAGTTGAAATGATGATTCATTATTTAAATAAAACTACACACACAAAACAGACAAAAGGTATATAAATGTAACAGAAACTTTTCTTCTGCCTTAACAACCACTTTACTCCTGCGTTTATATGATAGTGTTTCCACGATAACAATTTTCAAAGCCGAGATATTCTTATGGAAAGACATTTTATCAGGTTAGTCCTGTACAACCTCTCTCTGCTCATCTTCTTCTTCGTCATCATTGTCAAGCTCTTCCTCATCGCCCGTGTGGACTACGATCAATCCCTGAGTTACATGCGGCGCGATAACATCAACTTTATTTTTGTCAACTTTTTTCTCTTTCACTGAGCAGACTTTTCGCCGCTCTATTCTTCGTTACCTTTCACACCTTATTCCCTTGGCCTCGTCACTATAGATCTACTCTACATGACGATAGACGTGAGCAAATTCTTCTCGCTCTAAGGTTAGCCCATCAGACTGGAAAAGCTTAGAATCATGTTCTTTCAAGGCTTTTACTACACTGTTTATCTTCCCAAGCATACTTTTGATCTTCCCAAGCATACTTTTGTGCTCTTTGATCGAAGAGTTCAATCTCCCGCCATCACTGGGCTGTATCCTGGCTCCAAAACTCCGCTCCCTCTATTCGAGCACAAGCCTGCATTTTAGTACGCAGTCTCTTTCGATTGCAAAAGTTCGAAAGAAAGGGGTAAATTACACTGTCCTGTGTAGAAAAGGTGAGGGGCAATTGCTCTTTTTCTAATGAATGGACTGGACCACCAAGAAGTGGATTTCCGAAGCCTTTCCGTAATCATTCCTATCTCTTGATCATCACTTCCTGCCATACGACGAACCTCGTAGGGAAGGCCGTGATCCTGAAAGCCCAGGGTTCAGGTAAAGAAGGAACATAGCAGCGGTCGGCTGGTTTGGTCAGATCCCCAAAGTGTCGCTGCATTGTCAGACAAATTCATCGTGAAGGCAACATTTGAGGTTGATTACCTTCTGCACGTTGATAGAGCATTTTCACGTGCATAACCCTTCGTTAATGTTGTTCATTCATTCACAGAAAGTATAGCATAAAAAAATCAGTTCCAAAGGAATGGTCTGGTTCACCAATATCGCCCAGGACGAATGGGAAAAGGAAATCTTTCCAGTCGAAAAAACACTTATTTAACAATATCAACTAAAAACCAACATATAACGCCAAATAAATTTATTTCATCCACAATATATCAACTTCGTTCCATCAGTTTAATAAACTAAATAAGATATTGAATAGTGTCTTACTAATAAATAACTACTTATATACCTTTATCTCATTAAAATGACGACTTTCAAATTTATTTCAAAATAAATAATCTGTTTATTTCTTCCATCACGGGTTTGTTCTCAAGTAAGGTGTTTGCCCAGAATTTGTACTTTGTATGTCGATACCTACAGCATCAAAAAGGGAAACTCTTCATTCCCTATAACGTATTTTCTACCCACCTCAAGTACTAAGAGAAGAGGGGCTTTTATCAGAAGCGTGTAAAATTTAGAACGTAATCATTGAATAGAACACTTGGCCTACATCTCATACGAGCAAGACAGTCATACCAGATATGTTTAAGAGCACCCAATAACTCCTTCATACACCAATTTCGCAGGTCTAGCGTCGAGAGGAGCAATTTTTTTCATAAATCCTTTAATGTTCAACTGGGTAAATCACATGAAAGTGTAACTTGGAGTTTGCACATTTAAAAACGGATAAAATCGTCTTGGGGTGACTAAACGCTAAATTCCGTCCTCTCGAGGTCTTAGGTAACAAGATGAGAGAGATGTATTTCTTGTTTGTTTAAAGTATCGAACAGTTATGAGGAATGCTTCTCTCTAATATAAAGCATGATAGTTCAGAGACATTTTCACAAAAGATCGATGTTTAAACTAGCAAACTTCTGAACAAACTGAAATGTAAGGCCGTGTAGTCACCCAGAAGTCATTAAAAATACCGAATAATACCTCTGACTTTATCAAAGTAACTATTCAACAATAGCTGCAGAGTGTTAGAAGAGTAATTAAAACTGTTAATCCAAAAGAACCTACTATTAAGTATGACACCAAAAATTAAGTGAGGTAAAGGAATCTAATTCATTAGAGGAGAGTTCTCACTGGTTTTTAAAGGGCAAGTGACGTATTGCTTGATATTTTTCCATAGTTCTCATAGGACAAAGAGATATAAACTAGAACCCCTCCAAGTAAATGCAACGTAGTACTCAACACTGCGGTTATTTTGAGACAACACTAGGGTATGCTGATCAAGAATTGAAGTATAGATCTGGTTGAAAACGACTCAATTGTTATCACAAGAACAACAATTTGGTTCAGTTAACAACATTTAAGACATAATGGGAGAAATGAAGAATATAACAAATAATGCACAGATTACCACAACACATTATCCTGTATGGTTATTTGAAGCGTGGACAATATCCATTTGCACAACATAAATCACTAACTAATGAAAAGCTAAGTTTTTCATGTTGGCATTTATCCACTAGATAATAATATCCATCTATCCTGAAAGCCTCCAGTGTCTTAGACTTAATAATAAAGTTTTTATACTTTAAGTGCCATTCCGTTACATTACTGAATAAGTTATGAGCTACAGTATTGTGGGAATCTGTGTCTTCAATGTAACTCTTGATAATTTATACCAACATTTTTACACAGATTGCAGATGAACTATTCATGTATCATATGCCACTGGTCAATAGGGCAGTGTGGATTACAAATCACCTGACTCCAGTGATCAAACTCTGGCCCATCACCTGCTGCTGTGCTCAACACCACTTGGCCAATCCGTTCATGGCATCCACTTGAATCCTGAACTAGTACAGTAAACATCATGGTCATGTGATCAAGTGCCATCTTTCCTCCCAGGTCAAATGTAAAGGTCTGAGCAAACTTTGGGTTTACTGTTTTCTTTTTCACACGCGTTTTCTTCTTAGCAACACGGCGGTTTGAAGAGAACAATTCTACCTTGACATATGGATCTAGACATAAATTTATAGACAATTACCATTTTTAGGGGTGCACATTGCTATCAATGAAATATTTCTCTCTCAACCAGACACTCAAAATATCAACTTTGGGAGTTTTAACCCTCCCACAAAATTTGAATTTTAAAATTGTGGAGATTTCAAAATTTTTCCTGTTTTTTAAAATGCAAACTGAACCAATCCTGTGCACATCCTACCTCCTATGTTGAGACTGCTAATTTTTGGCAGGTTTTTTGCTTCTAACACAGTTACGGACAGTTTACTTGACAGTGGTTGATGACAAACAGACACATGCAAATCACCAAGAATCTGTTTAAAAGGCAAAATAATGTGTAATAAGTATTACTAAGAGAATAAAAAACCAAATTATGGTAGAAAACATGAGAAACTCCTCACTTATTATCATGGATTACTTGGTAATTAGAGCGATATTCATTTGGATTTAAAAAAAATCAATATCAAACAAATAGTAACAGACAATTGGAGCTGGTTAGTTTTGAATCTAATTGATTGAGAATAGGGTATTTTGGACTAATTACGGAGTGAAGTTCAGCAAAACTGAAGAAATCATGGAGTATTTTTGACACACTTAAATGGAAAAGTCTCTAATCCCTAAGACAAAACGGTAAAACAGAATTTCTACAAAGGTTAAATTACTTCAAGACAGCAAGTTTGTTACACTGTTTCTCTGAGATTTTAGGATTGCTTTTTTCTCTGTAAACTACAATTTTCTACAAAGTTGCTCTTTTTCTTGATGATAATCATCACTCTGAATTTTGGAAAATCAACTTGATCAAACTTGAGGGAAATGAGTTCATATATACTGTGGATTACAGCAGTGGTTATTTATTAAATTTCTTTCAATCAAACCTAGCTAATAGTCTTACATTTTGAAACTGATGAGGTCTGATTTCTCTCCAAACATTCACTTCTCCTCCAGTTAGGTCCAACCCACCTAATGTCATCATCACCTCTCCAATAACAACATTGCGTGACACTGGCTGGTGATGTATGACTAGAAAATGTAATGCAAGTTGTCGAATTTCAGATAGAGTGAGTCCACTGATAATAAACAATTCATTCCATACTGGATGCAGGTTCTTTTCAATAACTGTTGTTCTGTGGTTATGTCTCCGTGTTGGGAGTGCATAGACCCTAACATATGGGGAAGATGTGTTGTTACGTAGGTCTTTAGCAGGAAGTTCTCTTGCTTGGAGGATCTATGAGCAAAGTATAAATAAACAGAGTACAAAGATTGAAGGACTTTATTAATAATAATTACTGTCATAACAACACCCAACTTCTACATAAAAAATATACACAAAACATTATGTTTGGTAAACATAACTAGCTATAAGGAGAGGACTGATAAAGTACACCTTTGATGAATAAGTTATTGTGTTCCAAAAAAATAGTTGTTCAGCATCAGAAGGCACAAGCATTTCACACTTGCACCAATACTATGTCTTAGGGAAACAACTCCTTCTATGGGCATTCTTAATTGGAAACCTAAAATCTGTCAATCTCTAGCATTACAGCATATAGCATACCCCCATCTCCATTCCAATTTGTGCCACAATGTTTAAGTACCTCAATGAAACAATGAGGGCACTGTATCACTTGCTATCATGACCAAGCCACCTAAGAGATCTGCCTGAGCAGGAATTTAACATGTTTTCAGCCAGAAAACCCTCAACACTTTGATTTGATTCTGACAGGTCAATTATATACCAACCAGTCACAATTAAGTTCAGCTCACATGAGAAACCCTCAAAACCACAAAGCAAACATGTTGCTGTTTGTGGTCTAGTAACACAAAGAGTAAGGATTACCTTTATAAATAGGTCACAGGTGGTCTGTTTGTATTGTAATGACACATTTAATCTTCCTAGACTACTGTGTGAGCTCCTTCTTCTCGTCTCTTTATGTGAATGAATGACTTGGGATGGAATGTTCACAGGAATCTTGGCAAGAGTTCCTTGTTTAACTTTTACTTCCCCTTCAGTGTCGCCACTTGCTTTTCTCCCTTCTGCCAAATTCCTATCAGTACTTCCCTTCCTCTCTTTGCTTGCCCTTGATGGAACAGAGACATTATCCAAACTACGAGAAGGTTTAGGTGGCTTCCTAACAGGCAGGACTTGTGAGTCTGAATGACTCTGGCCATTTGGATCTACATCACCTACAAGCACTTTAGTGCTCATGTCATCCTTAGATTCTACTCTGGTAATTGTTATGAGTGGTTTAACTGGAATTGGCCTCACAAATTCAAAAGACTTGCTGCTGCTTTTAGGGAAACTCTTAGGAGATTTGACATCTGAGCTCTTTCTTTGCTCATAAATGCTTTCTGAACTGTCTCCACTTGAGGTAGTAAGTTGAAGAAGGGATGATCGTCTAATTGTGGGCACATTAAGTGCCTCAAAACTACCCAAACTATGTCTCTTTTCTGGAATTCCAGCATCATCAGGTGCTGTTCGATATGAGCCAGAATCCTCACTGAAAAATGATTTGTCTTCTAAAGGTGAAGTCTGAGCAGACGTTGCACTACTACTATTACGAGTTCCTTGATGAGAATGTTGGACAAATTTCTGTACAATTCTTGGTACAAAAGGTGGAATATATGGATCATGGGAAGTATCTTTGATCCTCCACAAACGAGGTTCTTGCAGATCTTGCTGCTTCCGCCGACAGCAGCAATACACCATGTAAATTGACACAAGAACAACTACAGGGATCCCTGTTGCTAAGCCAGCCACCAAGGCCACTAAATGCAAAAGAAATACATAATAGGTACAAAGTAGGCTCAGAATAAATTTTTTTTCAACAGTATTACATGTGACAAAAAACATTTTAGCACATGTCAAATATCCTGGTTAATTAAGGCTTGGCAAAAAAACTATCATGAGGTGGTGTTGAAAGATATGAACTAGTCTGCAGTAAGATCGTAAATCAAAGACTAATTCTAAGCCCTAATATTATCCTTATTTCAAGTTGCCCTTTGAGCATGAAGAAATGTACAGCTTATTTTATTGTATCCTAATGAGAGGGCAAAAACTGTGCTCAGTAACAAAACAGTTCTAGACACAGCTTTTCTTCCTCTGTGGTAGTTTATCTATCATTATCAAATTAAAAGCTCATATTTATCTGGTAAGTGTTTTATTACAGACAATCAAATATCCTTCACACACCTAGGAAAAGAAATATACCCTTCATTAGCGCTACATGTAATTGTTTCATGGTTGATTGACCTTTGCTATCATAAATCATAGAATCTTACCTGAGTTATTCATGATCATTATTCAAGGGCAACATTAGCAGTGTAGTTCAGTTTTACAAACTTGCTATTGAACACTATAAGACAAAGAAAAAACAATTCAAATTGATATGTCAGGGAAGTGAAGTTGGCAGTGTTCTATGCTCCTTAATAAGAAGCACAACTAAAATGAAATTTGCCTACATCATCTCGCAGATCTCACCAAAAAACATGTATACTGCTTCAGAGGATTAAAAAGATTACAGGTCAGAGTTGTGATTGGAGAATTTCAATCAATTTTGTCTGTTTCTGCTTTCAGATATCTGTTGCAATTGAGAGTAGCACAACAAAATCTGAAGTTTGGCCTTGAACCTTAAAGGTCACATTATTGATAGGCAATAAAGTAAGACATCAGGCACCCATGCTGACAAACTATTTCCATTTGAAAACACTATTAGTAATGAACAACAAAAGATAGTCGTTGACTAGTTCATGCTAACATGATTATAAATCTTATTAGTATCTTTTTGGGAATAAAATTCCCAATATTTAATTTGTAGTTAAGTTAACAACTGAATGGCACTAACGCAACATACTCATCTACTAATTTTTTTGTCTTTATACAGGAAGTGTTGAAACAAAAGGAATACTAGAGAAACATAACAATCATGAACAAAATTGCTATGTTCTCTTTTAAATTTCATAATTCCCACACTTTCTTTTTAGTAAGGTCACTTTCCTTTTAATTGGCCAGATTACTCCAATATTTCTTTACAATTTCTTTCAGTCTTGAAATGGGCCCTCATTTCAAGCCCAAAAATGGTGATTTATGAAGAATTCAAGGCTGTTAGCCAGTTCCAAAATGCCTCGCTCTGTGGGCTTTCTGTCTCACTAAAGCTTTGATCTGGCCTTGTGTTTGATGAAGAAACAAAGTGTCTAAAAGAGTGTCTAACAGGTTGATAGGCATGTGCATGTGCATGTGCACATTGGCATAATTTATGAACTCAAAATTTCTCCTCTACTGTAATGTTCAATTCCTTTTCAGTTTTCTTTTATTATTCTGGTACATATGTAAATCATGATTGTAACATTTACTATGCATGCCTTATCTGAAAGTGTGATTTTGGCCATCATGATCAGTTGCTGCTAGATGATTGGAAAAAACTTGACTAAATTTTGGAATGTTACCTTAATTAGTTTACAGTCATTTTAACCTAGTATGTACAAAACACATCCAGATAAAGGGAATTGGCACAAATTTTCTCAGACAGACACTACTGGCAAAGAGGAAAAAATTGTTTCAACACCATAGAAAAATTACCCAGTGCTAGAAAATTAATTTTTGAAACTTGCACTTGTCTGTGACAAGTGACACTTAGAATACACTCACCCAGATTATTTTCTACAAACCTTGCAGATATTCATCCAATCCTTTCACAACCCTTTGACACTTCAATAGAATCACTAAGTCCGACAATTAGTAGAGATTTAAGGCCTGACATCAGGATTATTTATCAAGATTGACTACTAATATGCATGCATAATGACTAAAAAAGTTAAGCATTAAGTGGCTGAGATAAAACATTGTCATAATCATTTATTCTTTCAAATACAAAACCTCTTCACAGGGGTGCAATTCACCACCTGAATTTTCTTTGTGTTAGTTTTCTCTTAGATTGTTCTGCTATTCTCTCAACCAAGTCTCGCATTCATTTTCAAATTTTTTTCTACTTCATTCAAGAAGAAACACTGCACCACATGAATGATTTTCTACTTCCATTCAATTTAACATATTAACAATGTCTTGATTCTTTGTAAAATAGGTTCAGAAGAAATCAACAATTGCCACTGAAAGTAATGATTTTCCAAAAAAAAAAGCACCTCTAAAACATTCACAAAAAATAAGATTCTTTACTGCATACTGTTACTTTAATGCTCAGAAAAATATACACCACAACCAGTCAGCTTGGACAAATGACAAAACAGGAAAATAAAGTTGTGGAATTCAACAGCTTATAGTTCTAAATTTCCTTTAAAAATGGGGTTTTTAGTCATGATAAATTAAGGGGTTTTTTTAGTCATACTAACATGTTGTGTGACTCAGTTTTTGATTTTCCACAATAATCTATAGCCAACTAGGAAGAAAGGGATAATTAACCCTCCACCTGCTATTTTTGCTATTATGCAAAATTAGGACTATTCCTAATATATATTTGAAGAAGAAGGAAAAGCTAAAAGATTTGTCAATTTCTGAGAAACACAAATCTGTACATCAAACATTCAGATGGAAGAAATGAAATACACTGATTGTTACAAGTTTAATTTAGTTAAGTAATAACCCATTCGAAATAAATTAAGAAATTATCTATCTGCAGTGAATAGAAACTTTGGTGATTCATGGCACACTTACCAGAGAATTTTCAAATGATCAGAAGGTAAATGAAACATTCATCGATGTTCAATGACTGTACATTTAGTGGCTGCTCCTAAATCAAACATATGACAAGTCTCAGACAAGATTGCAAGAAAGAGGTCAAACTGGCTTAGCCTTCTTCCACTATTTTTGAATTTTCAAATATACACCTCAGCGTTATTTTACAAAATAATTCAGCTGACTTCCAACAACGATTTAAGTATTGCTTATTCTTTTTTCATTATTTTTAGCAATGATTCTAATCTGCAAGGGATTTCTGCAGCTGGGAACTAAAAATGTGACTTGTGGTCTTCATATTACACCTGCTCAACACAGTGACATTTCTAAAGTAAAGAATCTCTCTATCATTTTTCATTGATAGCAAGAAAAAAATGAAGTTTTTTTAACGCTTCTTCAAAAGATAACTGGCTTTCAAAATGTCTCTTTTCGCCTCTTTCAACTTTAGGTAACCTATGTGTATTATTGAAAAAAAAAGTTGGAATTAACAAGAGGATCTCATGATTTTGACATAGCTTCTTACCAAAAAGGAGATAGTAAATACGTTAAAAGAAACTTCATTCGAAAAAAAAAAAGAGACAATGACCTGGCTTCTTGAATACCGCCTCGAAAGAAAAGCACATGCACATTTGTATAAGGCATAAAACACATCCACATATGCGATACAGTACAAGATAGGATAAATAATTCATTGTTGACATTTGTACGTACCTGATGGGTCGTAAAACTAATCCAAAAACAGTGTTAGCGAGAGCAAGATCAGTATTTTAAAACCTTTTGCTGATTTCAAGCGCTCCTAAAAGCCCCCTCTTTACGCTCTGATGGCACCAATGTTAAACTTAATGAAAATAACACATTTATCACAAAAAGAGACTCACTAAAGAATCTTCAACGAATCGACAATTCTCCTCTTCAGTGCTGTTCGCCTGTATTCTATAGTTTTATCAATAAACACGGCTTCGAAAAGCCCTCAATTTTAAGGAAAAGTAAGCGACCTTCCCATGACAAAAGCATATTACTTTAACGCCGAACAGGGAGAAAATGACAAGCCCATTTGATGCACAATCTTAATTCGATTTCTTTCTTGAACACTTCACGACAACGTGGGGCCTTGTGAGTAAAATTAAAAATTTATACCATTTTTCAAACTTTTCTTTTCATTCAAAAGTTTCAAGATATTTTACCATCACTGTGGTATTCACTAAACTTATCACCAGCTAAAATTCCTCTCTAAGGCAATGTAACCTTAAAACAATAACTGACTAACATTACTCTATTAAACCCACATTCTGAACAATTTGAGTTAAAAATTTATCCGATCTCTCTGTACAGAAGAAGTTCCATTTTTCTTACAAAAAAATCAACAACGTGATCGTACCTCCCATGGAGAGTAGTCCGTTCGGATCGGCGAACAACGATATGAGTGCGGCAGCCATTTTCATCTTCTTCGCGCCCGGATAGACTTGTGCGTCCCATTATTGGCATGAAACAGTGGAACAAGAATACACAAAATTCATTCGACCAACAGACATGTTCATATAGCAACAACGAGCTGTATGAACGGGGGCGATTACTCAACAACACGATGATCACCAGAATCTGTTTTCAAGCGACGACTTTAAAACAGGCGGTTGACGGAATTTACCAAAGCGGTGATGCTAGATCTGCCAAATGAAAGTTTTCCACCCGAATCAAACGTTCATTATTCAGTCCAAACACCCCGTATCCGCTTTTAGTTCCGGAATAAATATGCTCCACGAATACATAATTAGTTGCAAGAACCAATAGACTTACAGTGCATAATGGTAAATCCTCACAGACCTATTTAAAATTTAAAAGCATTGGCTCCGGTGATTGTGGGAAGAAATAACGTAAAAGAAGGGGAACCATTTGTTGATTGGCTGGCTGTCACTCCTGTATGCCTATTCAAATGCAAATCGCTCGGTATCTTGAAAAGTCACCGTTTGCGTCCATTGATAAAGAAAATAGATCATGAAGGATAGTGCTAAAATATATCTGCGTACAAAAGAAAGGACGAATTTCAGTCTGACATCTGTGGTTTCTTCATCAACAATTCACAGTACGCAATCTGAGGGTGTGAGTCGGTTAAGATTTGAACGCCATTTCAACCACCTACACGCTGTCATCCAACTCCCATAACGCAGACGTCAAGTTTTAAATCCGGTAAACAAGGATCGTAGATAAACATCAAAGGCGTGGAGAATCGCGCACTTGGAATTTACAGTGAAAGCCTGAAAAAAATACTAGTCATGTATTCTTACATGACACCTTGAGCTTGACGTCAGCGGTAGCACTCGCTCCCCAATGGCGGGGAAATTGATCTGATAAACTATCACGGACGTTCGTGTCCTTCATTCATCCGCTTAAAAAAATAAGTCAGAACGACTGACTTCGTACCATGCATCGTAAAAAGCAACGGAAATGCCCCAACCCCCTTTTCTTGAAGTGTCTGGAGGATTGGCGGGATGAAGCGAAACAGAGGAACTCCAAGCTGCAGCACACGTACGCCAAGGTTAGACCACAAACATAACGCAAAAGATAACAGCAAAACACGTCGATCTCCAGCGTAGAAAGCGGAAACATACATGGAACGGGAACCACGGGACCTCGTTTTGTTTTACAGATTGGTTTTATTTTTTTGAATTTCCTACCTTTTATAACATCTCTTTCTCAATTAATTGAAGGCGGAGGTACAGTTTCTTTTTATTCCATAGACCAACATAATTATATGAATCTTCCAACTGCACTGGTGTACTCAATAACATTGGCATAACCTCTTTCAATACAGCTTATCCCTGATTTACGTAACAATCATAATAACTATAAGGGTGTAACCAGCATGTACTAGCACGAAAGTCATTTCAACTTGTCCAAATGAAATTTCCCAAGCAGTTTATAATAAGTTAGTTAAATAATTATTTGCCTTATTATGTATTATTATGAGCTATAACTTCGATGAAACCGTTAATTTATGTTGGTAGTCGAATTGAATGGAGTGCAGTTTGGTTCAATACCCCTTCATTACATACGTTTTGGAATAGTAAAAACAATTGTTGATATTTCTTTATTTTTTTTGGAAAAAGAGAGAAGTTTTGGGGAAAAATGTTGTTAAGTTCTTTTATGGATTCTTTGTCTTTCTCTCTTTTTTTAGCAGTTTGGTTGGTTGTTTAGAAAAAGCCTTAAAATTTTATTGGCTGTTTTGTTTTAGTGTTGCTTTCTTATTGGCTAGGAAAAATATATGACTTAGAGAAAACTGGCATGATCCATGATTAAATCAAACTTCTGAGAGCCTATGAGATCACAAAGATCTTCAGTTATTTCAAAATGTATGACATAAGTAATAAAACATGAAATATCAACCTGCCTGGCTATATACTTAACACATTGGTACAACAAGTCAGTGTTCTTCTTATGATAAAAAAAAGTCCTTTGTCATTATTTCATGATTTAAAAAAATTTGCCTCACACATACCAGCAATATTTCCTCCAATAAATGTAAATAGATAATTGTGTGTTTTAGACTTGAGGTAATTCTGTAATTTAACGGGTTTGTTGAGCAAGTGACAGTTAAAATCCAACAGCCCCATCACAAAATCAGTTTCAAAGCAAGTGTTTTTTTTATATAGCTGTTTAGTAACAAGCAGGCCCTAGAATAAACCCCTGCCAAACACTAAATCTAACAGGTTTTTTATGAAAGCAGTCTGAGACTTAGCTTGTCAATCAAGAGAGTTTTAGCTCCCATCAAACTTCAATGTCATAAAGTTCTGTCAATGAACAAGTAAATGGTTCTGATTTAGTGGTCTTATACACAAGGCCATGATGTTGTAAGTGATTACTTGTTAGAAGCCAAATTATGGGTTTATGGTTGTTTTTATTTAACTTTTTTGTATCTGACTGTTATCAGCATGCAAACTTTCTGGGTACTTTATTTAATAACAAAGTATTGGGTGTAAGTGTTCCTCAAGGAAATGGCTTATGGGTTGATGATACTACCTTCAGTACAACTTTGGCTAATGTTCAGATTTAATGCTATGGTAATAATCCACTATTACAGCAAAATGAATTTAAGATCACATCACAGTTGGCTATAAAGAAAAATTCATTTACATGACTTTTGGCGCGTGGATTAACTCTGCAGTTAATCAATCAAGAGGATTAATATCTTTGTTGAAGAACTTTGTTTTTTTCTCAAGGCTGCTGCTGCTATGAAGAAGTATCCATTACCTCTTAGTTGTGGAAAGGAGGCAATGATTCTTGATAACATAGGCAAGTTTTTTTTTATTTATTTGACATTAAATAACATTGCTTCAAGTCATTTAATAGAATAGAAAAACTTGTGCTAAGAAGGAGCAGCCCTTGCGAACAGTGCTTTCCACAACTTGGGGAGGGAAAGGAGTAACTTCAACTATATGTTACATGCATGGGCAGTCAGCTGTCCAGCACACTTTCTCAATTGATGCATCTTTGGAAACAGTTTGAGTTTACTGTCTCTGAGAACAAGCTTTAGAATGGGAAACTTTTTATGAATTGCTACCTTTAGATGCCTACATAGAACAATTTTATGAAGATCTAAATCATGTAACTTTCATGAAATGCTTTTAAAAATATACCTTATTACAATCTAGTTATTATTAACTTTTGGGAATCTATTTCAGCAATAAAAACTTTAAACTACTCTTTCTCTGGGTATCATGGTGGGTGAATTTTGTAGAAAAACACTGTTATAATGGAGACAACTTAGAAGTACTCTGCTGAAGATCAGGAATAAACTTCTTTTGAATACAACAAGCTATTTACTGCTATAAGTTCTTGTCATGAATACATTTAAATGGAAACTTGCTGCAAGTTATCACATAATACACATTACAGAGTTATATTTCATTAGAACAAGACACTTACAAAAAAACTCCTGAGTGGGGGCTATCACAAATTAGCTTTCATTCTTGATGAATTTTCTTTTTAATGCTGGGGGAAAAAAACTGCACTAGGAAACCTCCTGCAAGTATGTGTCTTCCAGTTACATGTAAGTCAATAGGTGAAAATATGTTGAAACCAAGCCATTCAGCATTGATTGAGTGAGTTCCTTGACTCTGACTGACCATGGGTTGTACATTACAATGAAAAAAAAAAGGGGCCAGAGGAGCCTCAGAATAGTACTGAAAAAAAAAAGACAAAGTGCAAGTCAAACAAATTAACTGGATTGTGGACTCCACTCAGAAACTTCCAGCAAGAGAATAGACCTTGTATTTATATGCATATCTGTTTTCATAATTTTACTATTAGATGTCAATCTGACATATTAATAGATATAGGACAGCCAGATTTCTTAGCCATCATGCTTGGCAGTAGGACTTGAAGGACTTTTTTGGGGAATACTGAAAGTGCAAAGTCACTTTGGTGAAATTAGAATTGGGGCGATCACTTGAAAGTTTTACTCAAACTTCCTAAAAAGGATTTTTTTTCATTGCAACCAGGTGCTATGATTGCAAGAAGGCTTGACAAAGCCATGGTAAAGCATTCTGTCAATAATCACCAAGGTTTGTAATAATTGAAACAGGTAGGTTATATTATTCAAGTTAAATTGCCTGAGAGATTTAAGAAATGTCAATGCTGTGATTGGTCCAGAATTATAAAAATCAGAGTTGCCACCTCACCATCAATTGTGATACTCATAATTTGGAAACTAAAACAAGTGAAATACAAATTTCCAGTGACATTACATAATGCATGAAGTTATCATGGTATGCATTGTATTTTTACCAAATTAATTTTAATTTCAGAGGTGTTTGCAAATCATGATTTGGAAGATGAATACACAACAGATCCGGTGCTAGACTCACTCAGTGTACATACTCCACCATCAGTTGAGTTAAATGATGATATTCTTGAAGAAGGACTTAAAAAGGTATCATTTATTTCAAATGTGTGATGAATGATACACATTTAATACATACTTGCTTCTAGAGTCCTATTCAGTCTGTAATCATAAAAATGATTCATGAAATCAGACAACTGGAAACTGGGACCCTGATTTGTTAATCATGAGTATAATTTTGAGACAATTGGACAACACAAAATCTTGTTACTAATTATTAAAAACTATGACAAAATTTGAGAAACAAACTAGCCATTGTTTATACATTTTCATAAGATGTACTGTCCTATTACATATGCATGACATGTAAACTGTTCAGTTACACCATCCAATTACAGGCATGATGCTTATGCTGTCCAATTTAACTGTTCAATTACAAGCATGATGCGTACATGTATGCCTTTCTATTAGTGCTCAAATTAGACTGGTGATAGCCAATCACATTCTGGAATTTTCTTATAGGTTTGATTTTACCCAAAACTAGTTACATGTCTGATGTGTTTGGTCCCAGTAAAGAGGTGTAGATTCAATACCTAGTCATTGTTAGGATTATTGATATGGAAAATTTGTGTGACCTCTCTACTGCCTAACATTGTAACTCACAATATTTTCCTTAATGTTAATGTAAATGCTAAGTAGCAAATTATTCATTGCTACGTCCTTTTATGCCAATCTGTTTCAGAGAAAAGAACCTAAGAGAAAAGTCACTAATGAATATGTACCAGCCTTCAGATCAGGACCTTATGCTTTGATTGTGACATTATATCAACATAATCAGGTGATAATATTCTTGTAATGACTGTGTATAAAGGGCTATCATGTAAAGAATGACACTAATCCAAAAAAGGAATGTTGTTTTTAAGCACACTTTTATGAGAATGTCACAAATGAACAGCAACATACTTAATGTTGCCACTTATCAAACAATCAATTTTCGATTGTGAAAACCAAACAAGGGCTTAAGTGTGGGTTTAAGGTAAGGTCAATAGACAAACTGAGCATGTCTACATATGGAAGTTATCTTTAAGTAATCAACTCGCGGCAATGGAAAATATAAACCACTTTGAGATTAAAACTGTTTGTGTGGCTCTGAGGGCTCTCCTGCACAAGGACAAACAATGACCAAGTAAACCTAAATAGTTCCAGAAAATTCAAAATAGCTATGCAGCCAGTTAGAACGTTTTCCTCAGTTAGTCTACTTCAAGGTAGAATGAACTGTAATAGAAACTTTCCATATGAGATAAGTTTGAATTTCCCATAGTGGTGTCAAATTTCCTGGAATGATGTTCTAAATATGTAAGAAGAAGCAGTTTGTACACTACTTTGGTTACTCTCTCTGTGACTGGTTAGCCTCATTTAGGTGCAATATGTTTGGATTGATCGACAGTCAAAAGACAAAGGCTGTTTTTGCATTTATTCAAGCTGATTCTTGCTCCATTTTATGTTTAGAGACTTAACAATCCAGGATACATGACAAGAGCTGAGCTTCAGAGGGAAGCACAGTCACTCTGTGATGCTTCCTTTACAAAGGTAAAATACTTTTTCCTAGTGCACCAAAAGCTCTGTTTTTTGTAGCATAACCAAGAGTTTGTTTTGGGATAGTCAAAGTGATGTGTAAATTCTTTTTGTAAAACTTTGCGTTTTTTTCTACAACTTTGTATGTTCTCAACAGATGACAAACATCTTTTACAACAAAATATTATTTTGTTATAAAAGATGTACATTGAAAGTGCTACAATTCAATTTGTTAGCACAAAGTCAAACATATTGAGGATTGTCAGCAACCGACTTGCAACAAAAATCAGATCAGAGAACTCTGTAAATGGAGAGTCCATCTATGGAAAGGAAAATAAAATAAGTGTGGATGACTCTTTTTTGATCTGCAGAAGCTCAACCTCCATCCCAATTATAATAAAAGATGTATCTGGTCATAAACAAAAGCAAAGACTCCAACACAAGGCTGTTATTTGGAAAATATCTACAGGCTAAGAGCTCAGGAAACTTTAAATGATTTACTCTTGGTATTTAATATTCCCAAAGAATGTGTTTTCTGCAAATAATGCTTTAAATATGAATCATGTTTTGGAGAACAAGCTGGCAAAGCAACACAACAGACAGAGGCTTGTTTTGGGATCAGACAGTTTATTCAATGTACATACCCTACGTAAATAAAAGACTAGATTATTACATCAAAGGTGTGTGATGGATACACTAAAACAACTGTCCAGTGATCAAGAAAAATGACAATAACTAATGAAAAATGAATTTGAAAGCAATCTTCTTAGAAATGAACACTGCTTAAACAGTTGTGAAAATAAGACCTGAAAAAAATTCAGCCTGTTCACATATATGATTTTCATATATTTACAGTCACAAATGAAATATAGAAAATATTACAAATGTCTATGGTGTGGGTGGGAGGGAAACTAAATCTACCTCAGAAGCAGAAATAAACTGGTTACATGCTTGCTTAATTGCAAGTTACATGTGTGAAGATGCCTGAGCAGTAATATACTTAAGTAATTTGGCAATTAACAAGCATCAATGTGGTGCATATCCAAGCTATATCCAAGTCTTGTGACTTGTATGCTGAACAAATTGCTCAATCTTAAGGAAAGGGCTAATATGTAAACTGTTTGTACCCAGTCTAGACCTCTCAGTTACTGATTTCTAGATTCATGTTAATAGAGATTGATATTCACAAAAATAAAAGGATAGGTCCTTTACCAAGACTGTAAGATTTACCTTTCGTCAGTTGTATTTAAAGGTGCTAAAACTTTGACTATAGACACCTTCATTTTAAAACAAAAACTCCATAACTCAGCAGCACACAAAACCACAATGCACAGATCATAAATAGTATCTCCTCTGGTTATCTAAAAAAAAAATGTGGTAAGATTCTAAATCTGAAGTGTGTAAAATGAATTTACTCTAGCCTGACCCGGGCAGTCATTACACAGCATGGTCTTCTATGTCAACACTGATCAAAAAAGGTTTTATTACCAAGACAAGCAATCCGGCCAGGTAAGAACCTAATGTGTCATGCTATACACAACCTTGTGAAAAACTTTTGAGAAATGTTTTTGTCCTGCTAAGAGTTGTATGTATTTTCATGTTCAACATCTATTGAAATAGTCTTGGGCATAACAGAATACTGTGAACCACACATGTGCTTCAATTACTTGGAAAAATCCAAACTTTGGTGCTTTTGATAAGCATGACACTAAAATCTGACTTTCATTACATACTCTGTAATGATAATGATAGAGGAGAGGCATGCTTTCTTTTCTGGTACATTTGTAGATATTCCATCACTGATCAGGGCTGCATTCTAGCCCAGAAGTTGGAGAGGGTGAACGGTGACAGGTTGTCAATGGTGTCATCGCACTTTACTGCAAGTATTACTTCTAAATTAGCCTCTTCTGCTTTAGTTGACACAAAATCTGGCAATAAACTAAGTGCATCCATCAGAAGTGTTGTATCAACATCAAAGCCAAATGTTGAGTGCAAACAAATAGACCTCTGTGCTGCTTCTGCAAGGGGCCTTGAAGGATTTACAAGCATAGTTGAAAAAAAGGAATTAAATCCCAAGAGGTATGTCAATTCAGCAAGGCTTACCTTGGAACCATAAATTATTTTATTACTTACAATTACTCAATCAGCATACAGTGTTACTGTGAATTTTTGCTGGCATTGCATTAGGGACTGTTATGCAATTTGTTTTGTTGACTAGAGAATGAGTAAAATCCATTTGATTTACTTTGCATAATATCTTCCTCACTGATGCAGAAATAGGTAATAATAGACTTCTCTTGTATTTGCATGGTGAACATTTTCATTCTGTAAAAAACAGGCATGCAGAACACTTTTTCCTTTGACAAATTTCTTTTGGATTATTCATCAAGAATAATCAATATGATAAATAGCAAAAATAATGACAATGGAAACATTACAGAGTAAGAATAATGTGAAAAAAGCTGTCAGTATAGATTTTGGATATGATATATATATTTAGAGTATCAATTAGGTAACTTGATACAAGTTTGTAAATGGAATAAGGGAGATGGTAAGTTTTGAGCTCGGTAAAGAAATAGAGAAAGATGTTTTTCGTCTTGTGACAAGCATGGGACAAAGAAAAATTTCTGAGTCCCCATAAGGACTCACACTCACGACAAGATGAAAAACATATTTCTCTTGATACAGGTTGTATTTGATGTACCTTGACATAAGTGGGATGAGTTTAAAAAAAAAAAAACTAAAAGCTTTCAATGTAACTGGTCCCTTTCATCCCTGGTCTCTTTCACAGACTTGTTAAGGCTGACTTCGACCTTGATCCAGGTTTTGTGCTAAGACCAGGTTTGTTTCACAAGAAATGTTTGTCAAAGTACAACAAGTGATGTGCTGCTTAAATGATAGAAGAGATAAAAGAAATGGTATTGACTCTTTGACGCCTGAGAATGACTAGCATCTTATTTCTCCTCACAATATCAACCCTGAATCACTCATTAAGGTGACGAGAATAAAGGAAATGATTACCAACTGAAGTTTTAAACAAAGTTTCCTCGTCTGCACCTTAGGAAATGTATAGAGATCAGTATGGAGAATATGCATATTGATGATTGGGTCTAAAGGGTTAAGGCAATTAGTTATTTTAAGGCGACATGCTGTATAATTAATAATTAGCACCAAGCAAGAAAACTACAAACTCCAGACCATATTACATTTCCACTGATTTACCAAATTTACAAGGAAAGTTGTTAATAAAGAAATGAAGCAACTAAAACGTTGAAATGAGTAACGAATTAAAATTTATTTTTTAATTGATTTTGTTTTCGTAGGAACGTTCGATGTTATATTGTGTGTAGATGTGAATGAGACAACGTCAGGAGAAGCCAAGTCGAGAAAAGATGCTCTTATTCCGGAACTTAAGAACAATGGTACTTGATCCTATTTTATCTTGCGGTGTATCACTCTTTTAAGGTTGGCTCGCATGAAGTGTTTCGCAGAAAAAGAGAGAGAGAGAGAGATGAATAATAATTGGTTAAAAAGGTGTAATACAGTCTACAGAAACCTTGACGAGTATAAGTCAGGGACACGCAGCGCCCAAAAGCTGTCGAAGACATGTTCATATCTCAACGGCTTAAGAGCATGTTTAGCATCTTCAGCATACTTGTTAAATTGCTTGAACGAGTTTCTTTGAGACAACTCGCCACTCTATTTCTAACAGTGAGTATTTAACGATAGAAATTTGAATTTTTTTCTCAGGAGTACAGTTTGATGTGCGCAAACTGCAGCTCGGAGACTTCCTCTGGGTGGCTCGTGAAAGAACTGTTCCAACACCAGGTATGTGTAAAACAGCTTTTCTTAATGTTCCTCGACAATGGATGAATACATCTCTTATATTTGCGTTTTGCTGTGAAATTCAAGGTTGTTTGTCAGTACCTGTGGCTCGAGAACTTATCCTGGATTACATTGTGGAAAGGAAAAGAATGGATGATCTCTGTGGAAGTATCATCGACGGTCGTTTCCACGAGCAAAAGGTAATTAAGCTTAAACGTAATCTTCACCTCTAAGGTATCGTGAAAAATGAATTTTTCTCTCTTGACTGTTTTAGTTTCGACTTCGCCATTGTGGTCTCAGACACCCAATTTACCTGGTGGAGGATTTTGGCTCAATTCAGCACATGAGTCTACCGGAGAGTACATTGCTTCAAGCTATTGTTAACACGCAGGTTTGTAACAAAATCACTTGTTTGAACCCAAAGATAACAGTGACCGATGTACCCTACAAGTGTCAGTGACTGTTGTTGTGACAACCTGAGTCATCATAGTCTAGTGAGGAATTACAAGCTGTCAAGTGTTATGAACTAGCTATAAACTTGGTTTGTGAACGTTGCTGTGATTATCATCGTCATCATAACTGTAATAATGATAATGATTATACACTTAATTATTTATCTTAAAAGTATCTAGGTATTATTTATGAGGATACTATCTCTCTTTAGGTGGTAGATGGCTTTTTTGTGAAGCGGACACGTGATTTGAAAGAGAGTGTTGCATATTTAACAGTCATGACTCGCTATCTGCAAAAATTTTGCACAGTAAGTACCAACTTTACCTCGCTCCCTCGGCCAGTTTAGCATCAGAAACACAACTGCAGTGTGTATCATTTTTGAAACGGCTAAAACTGATCTTCAAAACTACTTCACAGAGAATTTAAAACAAAAAAAACAAAAAAAATTCCTCTAGTAGACTCTTTCAGTAGACTTGATCTACTCTAAAATTTAATTTCTCTGTTGAATCAAAGATTAGAGGTTTTCAGCACAAGTTATTAAATGATGCGATTTTCGCAGCTGAGAAGTTACTCTGTTTTAAAATGATTGTGTCGCCTATATGCACCTTTAGTTAGAAGGAGGTTGGATCCCTGGAGCATTTAATTTTTTCACTAGGACATATCAAGAGGTTTGGCGAGCTCTCTCTTTACAAATAAATAAAAAATATGCAAGGAAACTTCAACACATTCATATTTGATAACAGTGAAGATTTCTTAATTTTGAACCGTTTGGTAATTATGGGTAAGTTTTTTTTACCTATAATTGTAAATTTGATAAAAATAATCCATCAGTAGAAATTTTTTAGTGAAGATTAAAAGTGCGTGTGAGAAAAAAATTGCAACCAAGAGTGATAAACTTTATAAGCACTACAAAAAAAATGAGAAAAACTATTACCTTATGTGCATAGAACATGGGAGATGTGTTGTTAGAAAAAAGATGTGTTAGCATATTGAACTGTGTTATTTGAATGTTAAAGAAAGTAAAAAATTACGAAAAAATCAGAAACACAACGACAAGGATTGATCTTAGAAGGTGATTCCTCAGTACCGCACTGCGCATCCTGTACAGCATGTAATGAGGCTAATGAGCGAGAACATGGTATTGCTCTTGAACGAGCACAACAGCAAATTATCCCCTTTAAATTAAAAAAAAATTTTAATATGGTTATCGGAAGGAAAAGAGATATGGCTAAAAGCGTGCACGAGACTCTTACATGAGGATGTAACAATCACAATCCTAAAAGCAACGACTCAAAGAAAATTTTGAGTGATTTTTCTACAAGTTATAAATCAACTTGTATTATTAGCTCAAGACTTTCTATCTATCAAAATATTTTAAAAGCCCCTGCTTGTAGTTACCGCAGAATGTACAATGATGATATAAGGTGCGTGATCAGTACCACAACAGTTACAAATTTTAGTAAGATTAGCCCATATCTTTTCAGCAAGCACGGTGACTTATCTTTTTTATTGTAGTTTGTGCAACAGAGATTGGTCGAGAACATTTAAGGAAAGTTTCCAAAAAATCGTTTGACAACTTTTTTCTGAGGAATCACCTAATAAACAGAACTGCTATATTGATATTGGTATGATTAAGTTTTTTTTAGAAGGAATGTTCGTTTGAAGGTTGTTAACTATGGAAAGAAAAAACAGGAAACAGTTTTTTTCTGTTCGCCACGTGTCACCCGTTAGCGCTTGTAGATGCATCCAACGAGAACAAACAATTTATTTCAGTATATTTTATGCAACAGTAGAAACTGTTTTCACGCTTTGTAGTGATAGTGCAGTCAGAGTTATGCAATTTTATTTTTCTCCATTAGCCTATGTCGTTCATTTTCTCCTCAGAATAAAACTCTTGTCAGCTGTCATCAAGCAGGCCTGGAGGAAGCGCGTTTAAACAACGATAAGGAAGGAACTAAAATGTACCTCATGAATTTCCCCGTGTTCAATGATTCAACTGTCAAAAATAAGGTAACAAGAATCATCTTCATCTTCATTAGACTAACCTCTTTAGACAATATTCGGTCTTTATAAAGAGATAAAAGCAAACAAAAAATATAATAGAGAAGGTTACTGCCAGTCTTACTGCAGAAAGCGAGTATGGTCGTGGGTGTAATGATAAAGGGACAAAATTTTGCGTTTCTAATATCGTCATTTACATACAAATAGATGTTATATGTAGGTGAGTTGGCTTTCCCCGTGCTTACTTCAGGTGATGACAGTGAGTGAAGTGTTTGCCAAGCAGCTTATGCAGCTGAGTGGAGTGTCTCCTGACAAGGCTGCTGCAATACTGGACAAGTATCCCACGCCTAGAAGGTGATGCATGTGGAATGACTTGGCACTCTCTAAAACTCTTAAATTGTGCTCAAGCCCTCTATCAGTAAGCAAGAGGTTTCATTTTGAAAGATCCTTTTTACAGAAATGCGTGTAAGAAATAAGCCTTGATGGATAAAATAATGGAGTTCTCGAGTATTATGGAACAAAGTTTTCCCAAGTGTGGCATTGAAAAGAAGCTACAAAAAATGTAACGCAACATCGTATTCCGATTTTTAGTTTGTTAAATGCATACAAGGTACAGAAGAGTGTGGAAGACAAGGAATTGCTCCTCTCTGTGCTGAAATGCGGTGAAAATCAAAGGTAAATGATAAATCATCTGACAAAACATGGGACGGACGTTCTTACACAACAATCAGAATGAACATGTTAGTAGTATTGTAGGGTGGAGGTATGAAATATAAAAATGTAAAATCATTATGAATACTACAAATATCGAAACTGCAGGTATAGATACATCTTCGCAAGATTTGCTTTTGTTACTGAACCATCAGAATTCCTTTTTCTAATTTTTACGGCACACAAGACATTAAATAGTGCGGTTCAGTGTGATACATCAGTGGTTCTTTGGTATACTCGGCTTTTTATCCCTTTCAATTAATTACACTTTCTTATTTTGTTTTTTTGTTTGTTTGTTTGTTTGTTTTTGTTTTTGTTTTTGTTTTTTCTAAGCTCTCCACCTTGCTACTCACAAGATTTGCTCTCAATTGCCCCGAGTTCAACGCCTTGGCTGCACCTTGTATATAGCCAATTAGTCTGTCCCCGGCCAGTTGGGATTTTTAAACACTGGGTTTATTTACAATGTTTTCTTCAATTTGTTTTTAGTGGTCAATTTGTTTATATTTTTACTACTATTATTAATGTTTGTCTTTCATGACCTTTATTTCTTAGGCCTATGAAGATCTTATAGCAATGTACCAGTCTAATAATTTCGAATGTCACCTAATTGCAGGACGTTAGGACCGTCTCTGAGTAGACTGATTTATCAGCTGTTCTGTTTGCCTTCCCTGTGTTAACAATTGAGGTGGAATATCAGATGTTAGGGAGCTGGTTTCTCCTTTTTCTTTCTCTATGTGTAACTAGAACAGACAAGTTGTGCAGATTGGGCATCCGCGGATGGAAATTGTTACTGATATTACAGTTAGATAAACCTCAATTCTGCTCCATATCATCTTTGCGCTAATTTACATTGTATGGCAGCTTAAATCCTTACATGTTAGAAATGTTAGAATATTATAGGGTCAAGAACATACTCTGTGTTCTTTGGTCTTAATAAAAAAATCTGTTTAGGTTAACCTGGTGTTTATGCACGCTCTTCGTAGAAATCTTAATTTTTTTTACCGTTGGAGGGAAGGGAAGGGGGGTTAGATAGAATGTCTGATTAAAAACTATCATTACCCCACCCCTTCAGCGTCGAATCACCACGATCCATTTCATTGTTTATTAAAACTCATTCTGGGTACGTATTTGTTTGTTTTTACATTTACACCAGAGAACACGGAAAAGTAAACATCCTACGCAAAAAACTGTAAGCTGTTCGTAAGCATTTTTCCCGCATATTGCAAAAATCTTTGAAGGATAATAAACATAATAGCCTCCATTCGGTGAAAAAAAATACACGGATATTTCTTGGACATTATCTGTTCCCCGAAGCTCAGCTTTGCTTTCGGAAAATTGTTCGCCTCTCCGAACAGATAATGTCAGCGGACAAATAACCTTGCATATTTGCGCGCAAAATGGAGGCTATTGTTTATATGTGAAACCTTATGGGGTATCGAATACGAAGTTATCTCAGGAGTCCACTACTAATGAATAATGGGCTCCTGGTTATGTGAATGTTGTGGGTTACATTATTTCTCGCGAAAACTGATATGGTTTTTAACGAGGTTTATGAAATAACTGAGATACAACGTGCGCTCTGATTGGTCAACATTCCGGGTGTGATATTACGTCGGTAAACCGATAGGAAGTGCGGTCTATAGCTCAAATGAATGTACGCAGAAAGTTTGGTGAACACAGGAGTAACCTAACAGTTGCACGAGGTGCAGCCAATACTAGCCCCAAATTCTTCATGGAATCTTTTACATAACAAGAAGCAAAAAGCCGACTGTGTCACTCAGCTGACTGTGTCACTCATGATTTGTAAAAGTTTAAATATGGAGTCCGTAGTAGAGGCGAAAGCAGGTTGACTAATGTGACTGAACATTTATTTACAAATAATTCCATTGAATAATTGTAATGATAATATTTTAAAGGTCTCAGCTTTGTAAAATTATAATTCTTGCTTAATGATAATGTTTTTTTTGGTAATAAGATGAATTAAAATTATTGGAAAACTTAGTGAGAAGAAGGCTTAACTTTTAAGCCTTTTTGACAGCGTAATTTCTGTTTCTTGGATTCTCTTCTTCGAGCGATTCCTTTCCATTTCTTAAAGATCAGCGTAAAAGCAACAGAATCTATCTTATGTGAAAAATGCTTAAAAATCTTCCTCTGACACTAGAGATAATGTATTTTTATCTTTCGCCCGGCACATTCTCCATACATTAGCGCCTAAGCAGTGTCAATTGCTATTAGTATATAACAATAACTGACTTTTTCTAACGACACTTTCTCGATGTAAGCGTGCATGTAACGCTATTTAAGCTGAGTGAAGGGGTCTAACTCATTGCCCATTTTTCTTTTTTGTAAATCAGTCGGGAAAGAGTAGTAACTAATGTACATTTCGTTTGTATTAAGAGATGTAAAGCCACGATAAGGTGGACTTCAATTCATTTATCCCAAAAGGAACGCAAACTTTGTACGGAAGGGCCACTTGTGGACGTTCCTGTTGACGGGTCTCCTCCAGCACTCTCAGGTTGGCTCTTTTGCGATTGCTCTCTGTCATCTCGGCTAGAAAAGAGACTCTCGGGTGTTCGCACTCTGGGAACTGCTTCCAATCCTCGAAGCATAGATTTACCATCTGTACTTACTTGGTAGGACGCTGATTGGATGCTAGTTCGGCCCTCGATGGAATACCTCTGTCTTTCACGTTCTTTTTCGCCTGACGTCTTGACACCTTTAACATGAGGTACTTTGGACAAACTTACGCCACGTCTTTCACCAAGATATGGGTCTCTCTCTGGTGATTTTGCATACAGTGGCTGGTAAAGGGTGCCTTGTTGTAATCCTCTGGAATAATGCCTCATCCAGGGATCGTCATTCTTGTCATCCACATCGACAGGAACAGAAACTTCCTTTTTCCATGAAGTAGTTTGGTATTTGGAAACAGGTTTTATGGCACCAATATCCACTTGTAGAGAAATGGGTTCAATTTGAGACGAATGTGATGTGACCGTTACCTCCTGAACACTGCTTTTAACGTCTGTAACTGATGTATGGTGTTCATCTTTCGCCGTGTCTAATCGATCAACCGCGCCTAATTCAGAATCCGTCTCGGTCATTACGGGTGTCAAGTTAACATAGGCAAAACTGCTTTCCACCTTTGTTATTGATGTGCTGTAGCTTGTGGTAGCAGGACTGTCTTCGACAGGTTTCGCATCAAAAGAAACGAGATCAGGTTTGGAAGCCTTTAGCGCTGTGTCTCTATCTTCTAAATCACCACTTCTTTCTTTAGGATGTTCGTGGTCGTCGATGTGGATTTGGTAGGTCACCACATTAAGGGATTGTTGAGTTTTTTCCGAAATGCTGCTGTCTATAATTTCTATGGGCTTGGTTTCGTAAAAAACCTGTTCTCCCTCTTCGTTGTGTTCTTCCGTGTTCTTTGATCTTGATTCCGAATTTGTGTCATTATCGTTGAGTATAGGCTGCTCAATTAGATAACCTTGCATTAAATCCCAAAGACGAGAGTTGGAACCTCGCCTCGAAATTTCTTTAGGGCTTTTCTCCCTTGGCGATTTGACATTGTCTTCAGCTTTTGTGGGTGAATCGCTTTTTAATCGAGGTTCATCTTCAGTATAATTTAATGCGGCTAGCTGCGCTGAAATGTCTGGTATTTCTCTTTCCTTTGTGTGCTGTGAGATTTGTTCTTCATCTGTCAGATGGCCATTCTGTTCATCGAGTACGAATACTTTATTATTTTGCGGATATTCAAGGTAGAAGTCATGGCTAGGTTCAGTAGCTTGAATCTCCATAGTGTTAGAGAAATTTGGAGATTTTTCCTCCCTGATGTCATCTGCGTCTTCAGTGACAGGTGACGTCCTCTTAAGAGAGCGTGTCACTATAATAAGCGATTGTTCACGGATCTCATGGTTTTCATCCCCCGTTGGCGGGTCATCTTGAATTGTTACATGAGATACATCCTCAAAAGTATGGGCTTGTACGTCCCATGTAGGAGACACGCGGTCCCTTTGGTTAGGTGATAACAAATTTGGTGCATCACTTTCCTCAGAAGGCTTCGATAGAACCGACACATCTGGGACATCGTAGTCCAATGACCGAAACTTAAACAATGGGACAACGCCTTCTTCTTGCACGAATGCGCCATCGTCCTCTTCAACCTGAGCGACTCGGCAAGGATAGTCCAGATGATTGGAAACCTCTCCTGGTGGCTCGTTAAATTGAAGTTCTATAGAACTTACTTTCAATTCATCCTCGTGTTCAGTGTCTTGATATGGTCTTTTAAGGGAGCGAGATACAACTACAAAAGGATCCTCTTCTACACCTGAGGGATTTGTTTCCTGTGTTTCGGATGCGTAATTATGGGTTACAACATAGTCCACTGCTTTGTACTGATGGAGTGATAGGTCCAATGAAGAAGGAAGGTCATCTTCCTCCCGTTTCGTTTCTGTGGTTGCTTGATCTTTTGCCTTGGGTAGATCATTCAACTCGCTGACGTTGTAACTTGAGATCTCTTCATCCGACGAAGACGAGGAACTCGTAGGTTTCTGCTCTTTTGATGATATTTTGCCGCTTAGCATCAACGAGTCATGAGTTATTTCTTCTTGAATATCAAAGGTTATCGATCCTGACTTTCCTGGTTCCTTTATTTCATCAGCCACTGAGGTAAATGTTCTGTCGTCCACTTTGTAGGTCTGCTTTTTCTTGTCATTTTCTTTCGCTTCATCAGATGATGATGAACTCCTTGATTTCTTTCGTTTAAGTAAGTCTTGATGATTTAGGCCAAAGGAACCTTCATCGGAGGACGAAGAAGATGAGCTTGTTTTCGGTTTTTGCTTTTTCAAATTCAATCCTGAAACAAAATCAGCTGTGGGACGGTTTTGATCTTCGTTATCGTCATCTGATGAAGAAGAACTTGTTGAGGATTTCCGTTCGCTCGCTTTCTTTTTGGACGAGGAACCACTCTCCTTGGACGATGCTGAGCTGTTTGAACTCTTTCGGAACACCTGTGGTAGTTTGGACTTCTTTTTTCGTTTTGACTTCTTTTCCTTGTCATCCTCGGCATCAGAAGAGGATGAGGAGGATGATGAAGATGAAGTACTTTTTCTCTTTAATGAAGATGGTGTATCTTTACCTTCATGGCCCGGGAGTTCAAGTTCAATTCTTTGCTTAATTTCACGATCTAGAGTTAATATTCTGCTTGGAGAAGAAGGCTCCTGGACTGATGCTGAACAAACTGTTACGTTTTCTTCGACTTTTACCAGGTTCATTTCACCTGGCTTCCAATTATCCACATGAAGGTTTGCATCTGAGATGTCTGCATCGAAGTTTAGATCAGATTCGTTGGGTTGATTTGGTGACAATAGTCTCAGTTCCATTTCTGGTCGTATTTCATCGTAACGTTGAAGACTGTGTGGTTCTTCATACGCTACCGAGGGGAGAGACTCTGGTTTACTGTGGAGTTCGATGTTATCGTAGGTACTTGCGAATTCTACATCGCCTTCGACTGGATTTGCGTCAAAGTCTATGCCCCCAGAATCTTTGGGTGTTGAGGTACTGATACCCCAATCAACATCACCTTCAAAACTCTTCCCTCTAAGACCTTTCATGTCAACTGGTTCTAACGATGCTCGTTTTTTATTTGGTGATGATACAGTGAAATCTAATTCCGGTGCATCAACATCTAATCCCTTCATGTCAGCCTCTAATTGTTGCCGTAGGTCTACAGCTGGAGCATGAACACTTATTCCGCCTGCTGATGGCATGAAGATATCTGGTTTAGTTCTGTGCATTTCTTTGCCTCTAGGTTTAGGTACGTCAAATCCAGTCAATTCTGAGTCAGTGCTTGGTTCGTCTGCTACTCCGAGGTTAATATCACCAGCTGTGGTGTCAAACGAGGGCCCAGATATATCTGGCCTCTCAACAGAGACTCTTGACGAATTCATGCTTGGGTCGAACCCATCAATTCCAATATCGTTCTCTACTCTGCCCATTGATGGTCCAGATAAGTTATGCTTTTCATGTGAGAAGTCTGGTCCTTTTATATCTTGTATTCCTGCACCTATACTGGGTGGTTCCGATTCAAAGTCTGGTTTTTCAATATTTGAAGCATCCAGGTCAAACTTGGACCTTTGTATATCAGTGTTATCAAAAATTCTCCCTAGCGAGGACCCCGAAATCGTTGACGTCTCATATGAATTTTTAGGTGCATCAAATCCTGAACCTCCGATGCTTGGATCATATAATACAGGGAAATCCAAGCAAATCTTTGATTTTTCAGCAGATGGATCTGTATCTGTTAAGTTGTCTGAGATGTCGGGAGGCTCCAAAGATATTCCTTTCTTCGGCCCTTGAGAGTCAACGTCTGGTACAATTGTACTGAGTTCCAGCCCTTCAGTCGTTTTACGTCCATCAAAATCAAACCCAGAAGTACTTATGTCCACTTTGCTAGGTTTTTCCATCTCCAGTGATCCATCAGGGCCGCTGATGTTGTAGCCGACACTCCCCTTAGTCTTTCTATAAGGGTCCTCTTCGTCCCCATCTCCTGCACAAGCCAAACAATTAACGCGCTTTTTCTTTGAAGATGACAAATTCAATTCTCCTGAAGGTGCGTTAACTGTTGTTCTATGGCCTTGTAGTTTACCATCTGATACATCAACATCCGGGCCTGAAATACCTCTTTCAAATCTTCCCTCTGGTCCATCAATGTCTGGGGAATTGCCTTGTACTTCAACGCTTGGTCTTTCAGACGAAAAGTTTCCTGTTCTAGAAAGGTTGAAACCTGTGCCTCCCGATGGAATAGATACATCAGGGGTATTTATACTTGGATCCTTTCCATGAAGTGAAATCTCCGGCGTTCCTGTGGAGATTCCCTTGTTTTGTCCATGGAAATCAAGGTCTGGTTCAGCTGTTCTGAGTTCGAGTTCTTTTGTTGCTGCAGGTCTATCGACATCAGGCGTAAAAGCAGTTGTGTCAATTTTACTGGGTTGCACCATCTCTAGTGATCCATCAGGGCCGCCGAAGTTATAGCCAACATTTCCCCTAGTCTTCCTGTATGGGTCAGCTTTATCCCCATCTCCCGCGCACGAGAGACAATTAACGCCCTTTCTTTTTGTAGAAGGCACATTCAACTCTCCGGAAGGAGCGTCAACTTGTGCTCTAGGGTCTCTCAGTCTACCCTGTGATATATCAGCATTTGGGGCTGATATGTCTGTATCGAATCTTCCTCTTGGACCATCGATGTCTGGGGAATTAGCTTGTGCTTGAACTCTGGGTCGTTTTGAAGTAATGTCTCCTGTCCCAGAAAGGCCGATATCAGTACTTCCTGGTGGAATAGATACATCTGGGGTATTTATACTTGGATCTTTTGTATGAAGTGAAATTTCTGGCGAGCCCGTAGAAATGCCTTTGTTTGGTCCTTCGATGTCAAAATCTGGTGCAGTTGTTTTGAAGCTCAAGTCTTTCGTTTCTTCCTGTCCTTGGAAGTCTGGTGCAGAGGCACTTATGTCCATTTTGCTAGGTGTTTCCATCTCTAGTGATCCATCAGGACCGCTAAGGTTATAGCCGACACTTCCTTGAGTTTGAGTCTTTCTGTACGGGTCGTCTTTATCCGCGTCTCCTGCACACGACAAACAAGTACCTCGCTTTCTCTTTGAAGATGGCAAATTCAACTGTCCAGAAGGTGCGGTAACTTTTGCCTTAGGGCCTCCCAGTTTATCATGTGATATATCAGCATGTGGGGCCGAAATTTCTGTATCGAATCTTCCTTTTGGACCATCGATTTCTGGGGAATTAGCATCTATTTCAACTTTAGGTCGTTCTGAAGAAATGTTCCCCGATCCAGAGAGGCCGATAGTAGTGCTTCCTGATGGAAGCGATACATCCGGGGTATTTGTTCTTGGGTCTTTTGCTTGGAGGGAAACCTCTGGCGGTCTCGTTGAGATTCCTTTGTTTGGTCCCTCGATATGAAAGTCTGGTCCAGTTGTTCTGAGGTCCAGGTCGTTGGTTTCTCCACGTTCATGAAATTCAGGTGCAGAAGCGGTTATGTCCATTTTTCTGGGTTCCACCATTTCTGGTGATCCATCAGGGCCACTCAGGTCGAAGCCAACATTTCCCTTAGTCTTTCTGTATGGGTCTTCTTTATTTCCGTCTCCTGCACACGAGAAACAATTACCACGGTTTTTCTTTGAGGAAGGCAAATTCAACCCACCAGCGGCAGGAACGTCAACATTTTCCTTTGAGCCCTTGAGCACCCCAGATGAAGCATCGATGTCTATGGGATTGGTATCTATTTTAGCTTTCGGTCGTTTTGAAGAAATGTCTCCTGTTCTAGAGAGACCAATATTAGTGCTTCCTGGTGGAAAAGTTTCATCTGGGGTATTTATACTTGGATCTTCTGCGTGGAGGCAAATTTCTGGCGGTCCCGTTGAGATTCGTTTGTTTTCTCCTTCGATATCAAAGTCTGAAGGTGCTGAAATGTCTGTATTGAATCTTCCTTTTCGACCATCGATATCTGGAGAACTGGCTTGCATTTCAACTTTAGGTTGTTTTGAAGAAATGTCTTCCGTTCCAGGGAGGCCGATATTAGTGCTGCCTGATGGAATACGTTTTTTCATCTCCAATGATTCATCAGGGCCCCTCAGGTCGAAACCAACATTTCCCTTACTCTTTTTGTACGGGTCGTCCTTGTCCCCATCTCCTGCACAAGACAAACAATTTACGCCCTTTCTCTTAGTAGAATGCAAATTTAGCTCTCCAGAAGGAGCATTACCTTGTACTGTAGGGCGTCTCAGTTTACCGTGTGATACGTCAGCATCTGGGGCTGAAATGTCTGTACCGAGTCTTCCTTCTGGACCATCGATGTCTGGGTAATTGGCGTCTTTTTCAGCGCTTGATCGTTTTGTAGAAATGTCCCCTTCTCCAGAAAGACCGATATCAGTGCTTCCGTATGGAATAGATACATCTGCGGCATTTTTACTTGGATCTGTTGCGTGGACGGAAACTTCTGGCAGCCCTGTTAAGATTCTTTTGTTTGGTCTTTCCATATCAATGTCTGGTCGAGTTGTTTTGAATCCCAAGTCAGTTGTTTGTTCATGGCCTTGAAAATCAGGTGCAGAAGCACTTATGTCCACTTTTCTAGGCTTTTCCGTCACTAGTGATCCATCAGGGCCGTTCAGATCGAAGCCAACATTTCCCTTACTCTTTTTGTAAGGATCGTCTTTATCCCCATCTCCCGCACACGATAAACAATTTACACCCTTTCTTTTGGTAGAAGGCAAATTCAGCTCTCCAGAAGGTGCGTTACCTTGTGCTTTAGGGCCCCTCATTTTACCATGTGATATATCAGCGCCTGGGGCTGATATGTCTGTATCGAATCCTCCTTTCGGGCCATTGATATCTGGGGAATTTGCTTCTATTTCAAATCTAGGTCGTTCTGTGGAGATTTCCCCTTCTCCAGAAAGGCCAATACGAGTGTTTCCCGACGGAAAAGATACATCTGGGGCATTAATACTCGGATCTTTTGCGTGAAGGGAAATTTCTGGCGGTCCCGTTGAGATTTGCTTGTTTGGTCCTTCGATATCAAAGTCTGGTCCACTTGTTTTGAGGCCTATGTCTTTCGTTATTGCATGTCCTTGAAAATCAGGCCTGGAAGTATTTAGGGCCACTTTGCTACGTTTTTCCATCTCCATCGATCCATCAGGGCCGCTGAAGTCATAGCCAACATTTCCTCTTGTCTTTCCGTAAGGGTCGTCTTTGTCATCATCTCCCGCACAAGACAAACAGTTAACGCGCTTTTTCTTGATAGAAGGCACATTCAACTCTCCGGAAGGAGCGTCAACTTGTGCTCTAGGCCCTCTCAGTTTACCCTGTGATATATCAGCATTTGGGGCTGATATGTCTGTATCGAATCTTCCTCTAGGACCATCGATGTCTGGGGAATTGGCTTCTGCTTGAACTCTGGGTCGTTTTGAAGTAATGTCTCCTGTCCCAGAAAGGCCGATATCAGTACTTCCTGGTGGAATAGATACATCTGGGGTATTTATACTTGGATCTTTTGTATGAAGTGAAATTTCTGGCGAGCCCGTAGAAATGCCTTTGTTTGGTCCTTCGATGTCAAAATCTGGTGCAGTTGTTTTGAAGCTCAAGTCTTTCGTTTCTTCCTGTCCTTGGAAGTCTGGTGCAGAGGCACTTATGTCCATTTTGCTAGGTGTTTCCATCTCTAGTGATCCATCAGGACCGCTAAGGTTATAGCCGACACTTCCTTGAGTTTGAGTCTTTCTGTACGGGTCGTCTTTATCCGCGTCTCCTGCACACGACAAACAAGTACCTCGCTTTCTCTTTGAAGATGGCAAATTCAACTGTCCAGAAGGTGCGGTAACTTTTGCCTTAGGGCCTCCCAGTTTACCATGTGATATATCAGCATGTGGGGCCGAAATTTCTGTATCGAATCTTCCTTTTGGACCATCGATTTCTGGGGAATTAGCATCTATTTCAACTTTAGGTCGTTCTGAAGAAATGTTCCCCGATCCAGAGAGGCCGATAGTAGTGCTTCCTGATGGAAGCGATACATCCGGGGTATTTGTTCTTGGGTCTTTTGCTTGGAGGGAAACCTCTGGCGGTCTCGTTGAGATTCCTTTGTTTGGTCCCTCGATATGAAAGTCTGGTCCAGTTGTTCTGAGGTCCAGGTCGTTGGTTTCTCCACGTTCATGAAATTCAGGTGCAGAAGCGGTTATGTCCATTTTTCTGGGTTCCACCATTTCTGGTGATCCATCAGGGCCACTCAGGTCGAAGCCAACATTTCCCTTAGTCTTTCTGTATGGGTCTTCTTTATTTCCGTCTCCTGCACACGAGAAACAATTACCACGGTTTTTCTTTGAGGAAGGCAAATTCAACCCACCAGCGGCAGGAACGTCAACATTTTCCTTTGAGCCCTTGAGCTTCTCAGGTGAAGTATCGACACTTGGCCCAGAAAGCTGTGTTTTTAGTCTACCTTGCGACGTTTTGATATTTGGCGAATAGCTATCTAGCTGTACATTGGATCCTAAATCCCTTTGCTCTTCGTCGAGCGATGGTCCCGTAATTTCTCCCGTGACATTTTTGGCCGGAATAGAAATGCCAGGTTCTCTGACGCTCAAATTATCTGTAAATTTACCACCCTCATTAATATCAACAGAACAATCATCACTCGGTCTGTCCCAATCCATTCTATTACTTGTCTTCCCTCTGGTGTAAGGCTCCCCTTTGTCTCCTTTGGATACACAGGAGAAACATTTCGCACGCTTAGTCTTAGGTGAAGGCAAGCTCAGGTTTGAAGGTGAACCTTGAAGATTGTGTGGTTTCATATTCGGCCCAGCAATACGCGCCTGTGGTATATCCCCCTCGAATTCTGGTTTACTCAGTGAAGTCTCCGTCTCTCCTAAATCTGCACTGCCTTGCAATCCTTCGACATCAAGGGAGGGGCTCCCTGCCTCTAGTCCCGGTTCCAAGTCAATTGCACAGGATTCGTCAATCGTTTTGGATAGATCCCGCGATCTCTCCGATAAGTCCAGTGAACCTATCGGTGAGAAGAGATATAATGGCATTATGGTGCATTCTATTTTATGGAATCGTGTCAGTTCTTTATATTACAAACTTTATCATTTCGCTTTATCATTTCAATTCATTCTCAATCCTCAAATACAAATAATATGCCAACTTCTAGCATAGAGTCAACGTGAAAATGTTAACACGCATAATTTGGTTTTCGACGCCTATTTCTCGCGAATTCCTGTCGTAGAATAACGTAAATACCATGAGGCTAAACAGACTACCTACCATTTTGTCCTGGCGAGAGGTTTTTCAACAGTGTCAGTCTTAGCCTTGGTTTGTCATCATTGCGAAGAAGGTGCATTGCTTTGTCATGAGCTAGGCCCTCGATCGGAGTTCCATTAATACCAATGATCTTATCACCTTGGAGATAACAAATTAGAAGGATGTCCTTTTCTGGAAGAATATTGATGACTTTTGGTCTGCTTTCTAGTTAGTTTTCATTAAGTACTACGTGTCTTGCGAATAAAATCTTCAATATAGAGTACCTGGAATTATGACAATTTATCATATCAAACAAATTTGAAAAAAAGAACATCTTTTCAAATTGCAGCGAGGTCTCTGAAGATGTTTCAGGTTTTTTATTTTGGCGAGAAATTGCCATGTTCACCATGAATTAAAATTCGTCAATTATGGTGTCGCTCTGTTACCGCGTAAAATTTCTGAGGTGAAATGTTTACGATCATCCTTGTGTAACATACGTAAATATAACGTACAGTGTCGTTACCTTTATCCAGGAGACCTGTTCTCGCAGCAACACCACCGGGTGTTACTTCTCTTACGAATAAAGCGGGAGGTGGCAAAGTCTTGTCCCTCGCAATCAAGAGTCCAAAGCCACCATTTTCAGGTCGGTCAAGATCAACATCAATGGTTTCCTGTCGAAAACGACGGATAAGCAAGAGATATATATAAAAAAGTCTTTTTGGGGGTGAAGATTAAAGCTGATGTGTGTTTCTCAGGAAAGAGAGTCATTTATACCGGTAATGCTTATAACATTAATAATGATAATGACAACGGCAATAAAAATTATAATGATGTTGACAAATGTTGATAATAGCAATTAGCAAGTACATTATTCAACTATTATATAAGAGCGACAGCATTTGGCTCTTATAAGGGTGAGAGATCTATCTTGGATAATGCAGGTCATTTTTATGCTCACAATAGACTAGACTTGAAGTATTTATTGAATAAGCAAAAGCGCTCTGATCAATTTTATTCCTATCTATTTTTTTCTAGTTTTTTCGGTAACTGAAAATACGGGCTAAGATGTTCGAAAGGCGGAAAGCGCTAAATATTGGATGAAAGAGTGAGACTGCTTATATTTATTTTTTTTCAAAACTCCTATGCTACAGACGTTTTGTGTGGTTTTATTTAACCATAAGGAAAAAAGAAAGTAAAACATTTTAGGCGATAATTTTTCTCTGCAAAGTGACTTATAACTATAGCCCCGAGTTAAGTTAACTTTGCTGTGGACATACCGCCTTCGTATTGCAAGTATAGCTATGGCTCTACATTAACGAAACAGAAGAATTGAATCTTGAGGAGTGCGGTCAAATACGTAGAAACTGATATTGACTTAATTCAAAACTTAAAGAACATCGCTAACCATATTCCTTGGTGCGTCCACGTTAAAGGTTGGTTCGGAGGAGCCCTCAAAGGCAATATCAACGTCTGAACCAGGAATATTCCCGCCCGGAAAACCTGTTCCTGATGGTTTGTTATGTTGGAACTCAACATCCGAGAGCTGAGCATCTCTTGGAGACATTTTGAGGCTGCTTCCATTTGCCACATTCATGCCAAGATCGGTGTCCATGTCAAGATTTACAGTAGGAGTTTCCTTGTCTGGATCTCCGCCCATATCAATTTTTACCTCCCCTTCGTTACAAGAAGGAAGTTTGAATTTACCATCTCCATCCATGTCAATTTTGACTTCGCCATCGTCTCTAGATGGCATTTCAATCAGTACTTCTCGCTGCCCACCAAATGCTGGATTAACAACTCCCCTTGTGTTGTACGCTGTTCGAAACAAACAAGCAAACAAACAAACAAAATCACAATCGTAGGCTATTTAGCCATTAGCCAAAATTTAAAGGATCGTTGCCGAATGTAGACGAGCGAAGTAGTTGTCAAATAAAAAAGGAACATCAACGTTCAGAAAGAAACTACGTCACACAAATTGAGACAAATCTGAAGCATATTTAAATAAGATTAAACATTATAAACCTTCCTAATGCAATCAATCTATTATTCACACAAGATGCATTACTTTCCAAGCAAAACACTACTACCGAAAAAAAACCAGTCTTATTTGTTTAAATAGTATATCTAATAACGTAGGGCACAAACCAATAATTACAGTTCCACTTATTACATGGTCATGCGGCTATTTCATTTTACACAAATAACGCAGATAATCGTCGGAGAGAAGCTTCAATTTCACTACAGATCTCTCCGACCTGGGTGCTAAATAGACACTTATAAAGAAATGTTCAATTTGAATCCTGACCACAAAAACAGCGAGTGTCAACAAAATTAAAAGACTCTAATTTCAAAAGAAACAAAGCATCGAACAATAGAAAAAATTTTCCATTGAAACAGACGGGAGATGGAAAAATGTTGCAGCGATTTTATTAAGTTATAGTATTGTTCTGAATATGTCGTGGCTTAGGCTGTTGTGTATTTTTGCCGATGGGTGTTCCTAAATCTCATGCGATTGAATGTTGGAGGATGAGGTTGCGTCTGGATTATTCAGGAGATACTTTTCATTCCTTTTGACCTCTTTCTTTTGGATGACTTTGTGTGTTAGGTTAGGTAATTTAAAGTTTTGTAAGCTCCACATTAAGAAGGTCTCATCCCTGAAATCTCCAGATCAATCCGTATCTATGCATTTTAAACTGACGCAATGCGCAAAGAATGACTGTCATGCGGTGTGCAAGACGTTTTCGATGTATCTGTAAACTTCTGTCACCTTCTATGAAACTCTGGGCAACCAACAATATACAAATATCCACCGCCAAGCGATGTAATGACTATTCTTTCCTCAAAAAGTCGAAAATCATGAGCAAATATGTACAAAACTCTTATAACTTAGTATTTTTTTTAAATAGCGTTCTCCAAGCGTTTGTTATATACGTGACATGATCAATCAGTGTAATAACAAGTCATAGAGCGAGGGCTTTCTAGATTCTTCAAACTTTCAGTGCTCGAGTAATCTCGAAAAAGATAATGACATTTATGGAAATGAGCTAAAGGACAATGAACACTTCGGTGGCAACGTAGGTGAGGGTTTGTTGTTGAAACAAGGAAAGACATTTTAACACAAAGACATCCTAGTTGCAGAGTGCCAAGGTTTCAATTGAACGGTTGGTAACTTATAAGTTCTGAAATAGAACGAACTGGGTTAAAGCACAGCTCCAATTTCGACATGCTTCAGTGCTGCACAGAGAAAATATTCTTCGCTGTCATACTCTCATCGAGCATCTGAAATATTCAGTCACCGTCTTTTGTAACATTGTCAACTTCTTACTAAAGGAACTTCACTCAGTTGAAAAACGTGATTGTGAACGTAGTTGATGCAGTGATTAAAAAATGATCATTTTATCGTTTGAAAAGTGCTGTAGACAATCACCTCAGTGAATTCACGAGTATGGAAGCCAATACAAGGCATACTTATGCCTAAATCACGACAAAAATGATGATAATAATAATAATAATAATAATAATAAAATTAATGATAATAGTAATAATGATAAAATAGCTTCGAAATACACGACTGTTGCAAGCAGTTAAAACTCGAGCTTAACCTTAAGAGGCCGCACTCTTAAACTAGAAACAGAAAACTGACAAGTTTGGACGCGTACCATAGCAATTTTAAGTATGCAGATGATTCGATATAAACTGAAATGGCACGGACAGGATTGTATCCACTATTCCCATTTTTCTTACCAGCAGATGGTGCTTCTTCTTTGTAGTGATGTGAAAAAGTTACCGGAGTTCCATGACCATTTAAACCAATCTGACCACCTTTGGCTTTTGTGCCGAGAGAAATTTCTGGTTCACTGGCGGTTTCTATTGAAGACCTTGACGAGAGTTTTCCTGCAGCAAAAGAACTCAAATGTGAGCAGCGCCCTTTGAAATAGAAATTCAATAGAATAAACTGAAACAAGTTAACATCTAGGCAAATAAACTATCATTACCTGATCTTTTTTGGCGACAACACCAAACCAGTATCGCAATACCTGCGATAAGAAGAATCACACCTATTGTACCAAACACTGAAGCGACTATAGCGCCCGTACACTCTGACGCAGCTCTAACATGACTACTTTGGCAACAGATGATCAAGCACACTAACAGAGTGCTTTTAATAACCATGCTGTTTTTTTTTTTGAAAGATTAACAAACTTGCGCCATTAAATTTGCGATCTCTGTTTCAAGTTTGTCCACCATCGGAGCGTACGCCAAAATAATCGTCTGAAGTCCCTTGAGATGCAAACTATTTATGAGTAGAAAAGCCGATTCAAATGAGTTGATTGAAGATGTCAATTAAAGAGCTACACTGACAGTTCATTGGTTGATGGGTGTTACTGCTTCGCTGACTTTTTCTTACAATAAAATTAATTGTTGAATGTTTGGAATATTTCCCGATGTTACACGCTTACGAGACTAATCTGAAGCGTAAGTAGGTTTTCTTAATATTAGAATCCGAGGTAAACAACCACCAATTGCGCAATAATTCGTTATGAAAAAGAGGAAAGCTAGAAATTTCAAACTAAATATCCAAAAAAAAAGTGCGCGTTGATCGTATATTGTAAACGTGATTAAGCGTTGGAATTGTTTATAAACCACCTGCAGGGACTTTTTGCACTGAAAACATTCAGAAACCCCAATCACCTCTCAAAGATAACATCAAAATGTTTTTTACGAGTGGCATGAAAATATGTAACGAAGGAAACCTTTGGATTTGTTTTGGCAAGATTTTCATTCTTATTAGAAGCAAGTAATTTTTTAGACAGTTGACTCTTCCAAACAATAACAAAATTGTAAACAATCACTCTGCTGTGTAGTAGTGTTAAATTTTACTGTATGACCATAATGGTAGTGCTTTTAAACGCCTCTCAGCAGCTCGAGCGCTTATTCTGCTATGGATGTACGAAATTCACCATTGGATTATTGAATATCAAAATGTGGTTTACTGTTGGACGGATCAATACAGAATTCATTGCCGCCACATAACCACAACAAAAACTAAAAATGGAAAACATCCAACGACTTTGTCCTGCTCAGTTAGGCGAAATTCCACAAGATACAGTATAACATGTTACCTTGAAAAGGCTTGGAAAACTCTCGAAATTTTGACTTGATTTTATTGTTTTTAAAGGCGAATAAATAAAAAGACTACAACGGCACCCATCTTGGAAACCAACCAGAAGAGAAAACGACCCCTTTATTTATCATACTCCACGAAATTCGTGCTCACTCCTTCTAACTTATCAGTAGGTTATTTTCGACTCTGTTCACACATTCCGTTCAGCATAAGCTATAAGACTTCTAGACGAAAATAAATCTTAATTATTCACAAAGAGTTGGCATTCCTAAGATTTTTCTATGCTGACATCGAATAAAACGCAAAATAATTTTTTTTGAAGCCACATATGTCCACATTGGTAGAAGCCACCCCAAAGATGAAGTTCCCTCCCATTCAACGTTACATTTGGTATAGCGTTAATTTTTCAAGGTCTGGAGATAGTGGTATCGTGAGCGAAATCTGTTTTGAACACTTTGGCGAAGAACAAAGCAAATATAGTGTTGACAGTCTATTTTAAGCATGACTCTTTAAACAAATATTAGTAAATGTTAGATACCTCAAGGGCACGAATTTGCTCCTTTGTTAATCGTTTTTTGTGTGTAAGACTTAAGCGCATTCTGACACCTTAGATGCCTGACTACAAATTGAATTCATATGAAATAGCCGTTATGAGATAAATTTTATTTTCCTTTTTCCATGTACTTTCCAAACCTTGGTTAAGGGATTAGCCAAGAAGATGCTAATTATACAGCTCCTGAAGATAAATAATTCAAATATGGCAAAATGACCCCAAACATTAGCTTAACTCAATGATTATTGTTGTCATCGACAAGTTAACAAAGAAATTACAATATATACAATTCAACAATGATAAAACTAATTACCAAGGTTAAAAAATTAAGGATTTTAAGAGCTCTCAAGGCCCCTAATTACATGATCTTTCGCCCGTTCAAAGTAAGAATTCGCGTGCTTGTCGAGGGAAGTCCACCGCGAAGAAACGTTACAGCGCATGACGATTCCATGCACCACTTGTCAACCTGCTCCATCGATTATCAAAATGGACGGGATACTTCAGAGAGTAATCGATGCCAACACAGAGATGCGAACGATGCAATGCAAACGGTCAAATATCACCATTATCAATATACAGAGCGCGCATAATTCAGTCAACAACATAGTTCATGAATTTTGTACATCATGCCGAACTTTTTCCGCTCAGTTCTTTTGAAATGAGAAAGCTTTGTCATGTAGCATACTAAAACTTTGAAGACTTCTGATTCAGTTCAGTTAAGTCAAAGCTAAGAAAATGATGCCACAATCAAAGAATAGAAAATCAAATAAAAACAATTCGATCTGCTTTGATGAATTGCAAAACCGGAAATATTTCACTTAAGTGATCTATGTTATCATCCCTGTGATATGGATTCCACGTATTGAGCTCTAGAGCAAAGGTCGTTGACGAGATAACAATGTACAAGCTAGAGATGAAGAATCACGATGTTGAGATAAAATTGCCTCCATTAATAAGATATATCGAGACAGCTTTTACAATGACATCTTAACCAAATCAGACAACATAAAAAAAAAGATGTGGACAATATTAATTTATTGATAAATAATAAGCGGCCAAGTTCTCATATAGAAAAGCTACAAGTAGAAAATAAACTGAATGCGAACAACCTTTTACCATCTCCAACTGCCTCAATAAATTTTTCTGTAATGTCCCTCTTACATTAACTGATAGGAGTGCAACATCTTATCTTTCCCAGAAACAAAAAACATTTTGCTTCTCACAAGTGTCTGCAATACAGGTATTTCTATTGCTACAAAGTCTTGATACGAAGAAATCATTTGGGATTGACAAGACTCATCCACTTTTATTAAAAACCGCAGCACCGCAAATATGCCGTCCTTTAACTTATATTTTTAATCTTTCTAACAACCAAGGTATTTTTCCAGGTAGTATGAAACTGGCAAAAGTTGTTCCAGTTTTCAAAGAAGGCTCTCGTTATACATGTAACAAGTATCTTCCTTTTTCAGTTCTCTCTTCCACAAGTAAAAATATTTGAGAGATGTATTTTTAATCAGCTTATGTCCTATCTTACGAATGAAAACATTATTTCCTCAAAACAATATGGATTTAGATCAGGTTGTACAACCTCTGACTGTCTAATTAATATTATTGAAGAAATGACTTCTCCTCTTGATCAAGGACACTAAGTGCTTTCTTTATTCTTAGACCTAGGTAAAGCCTTCGTCACAGTAAATCATCAAATATTATTAAATAAATTTAAGTATTACGGCCGAATTACAACAAAGCGAAAATAATAAGCTCCAATCTTACTTAAATAACAGGAAGCAGCAGGTGCTTTCCTACTGGATTATATGCAGACGTTACATCTTTAACAGCTTCTGGAAGTGATCTTGACAATTTGTTGTGTGAAATTAACAATCATTTGCCAGCTGTCTACGGTCATACCCTCATTTCGAACTTATCTCAGGAGATTCTGCCTAAGCGTTATCGGAAGATTCTTTTGGAAAAGTATTCCACAATTAATCAGAGACAAACCATTTAAAAAGATGATTAGAAAAGCAGTTTTACACTGGTACCTTACCGGGTGATATAGTGGAAGCTGATAGCTTTCAGCATTTTAAATCTAAACTTAAATTGTATCTCAATATTTAACTGTATAGATCTTGATTTTTATTTTATTTTTATTTACTTATTTATTTTATTTTAAGGGAGTTTTTACATAGGGTTAACCTCCAAACTTCCTTTTCTAGAAGTACCTTTTTTCCTTAGTTTTTAATTAGTATATATAGTTTGCTTCTAGAATAAATAAAGTATGTATGTAAATAAAGTAAAGTATGTATTTTATTGAATCAAAGGACCCTTTTAAGGGCTTTACGCGATGGCACTAAAAGGGGCGGAATAATTACTTATAGACTGAGTGGGAGGGCCGGATGACAAAATGTTCGGCTTACGGTCATGTATGGATTGAAGGCAGTGCGGTTCCTGCCTATTGACGGCGAGGCCAAATATTTTCACGTTTGGCCCGACTAGGCCCTTTTAGATTGTGCTGGCATAATTTTTAGCATAATTTGGAAAAACGAGCTCAATTTTTGCACTTTAAATAAAAGTATCACTGCAAGCATAATGAGCATATTTTCAGTTTTAGAAGGGACCATTATTAGAGGTATGACTTGCTTTGTCCCTAAGATTGATTTTATTTCAAGTCTCTTTTCAATTCTGCAATGTCAAACTATGTTACTTTTAATAACACGATCTATGATACATACATACATACATACATACTTTATTTATTCCAGAAGCAGATGATAACTATTATATACAAATAAAACTAAAAAGAAAATACTTCTAGAAAAGGAAGTTAAGAGGTTATCCCTGTGTAAAAACTCCCTTAAAAGAAAAGACAAAATATAAATCAAAATCATTACAATCAAATATTTAAGTACGATTTAAGTTTAGATTTAAAATGCTGAAAGCTGTCAGCTTCCACTATATCACCCGGTAACTCGTTCCATAATTTGACAATCCTAATAAAAAAAGAATTTTTGTAACAATTAAGTCTAGCTGGTTTAATATAGAGTTTGTATTGATGATTTGATGGCCAAAGCCTGACCAAATTCAGTCAGTTTATTATCTAGCACGTATTACTTTCAGCTTTAAAAAAAGTGGGTTCCTAATCACCTCGTACTAAGCCAGGGCACGAGCATCACTGCCACTCACAGCTCTTCCAACATCACGCATGTAAGATCCTTAGTACTTGCGGTTTGTCAATTATCTCGTGTCTAATATATAGAAACCAAGGGAAATAAGCAAAAAAGGCAAAAAAAGGGATTATTGAACCCAAGGTTCATGGAAGAAATTCTGTCAAAAATGGAATGTCAGTCAACTTATATGTTACACTCAAGAACTAGAAATTAAAACTTATGGTGTCAGACAGACTTGGGCTCATGTTAAACCATTGTGAAGAAATAGTCTTTAAGTTAATATGAGAAGAGAAGGAACACTTTACTATTTGAAATAAACAACGCTTTATCTTTTCTCTTCTTGTGACAAACAGTTTACCTTTCCATACTTGGGTTGATGAACGTCATAATTAAACTTCCAGTCGGACAGTCTTTAATTCATTCCCGTAGTCTGCAAAAGGGAGAAAGGGCGGAACGCGCCAAAAGATCAACAGCCATCTTAGCCATTAGTATAAGGGGTGGGCGGACGATTTCAATATTGCATTGGCGTGCATCCATGTGGTTCTAGGTGATGGTTGTCGTCATCAAATTCAATAAAAACTGAACAATTACTGAAAATACTGAAATAGTGTCCTGGGTAAATTCATAATGACAAAGGCACATTGCACAGAAGCTTTCCTGTACACAAAGCAATTTTGTATGTTCTTTGAAGCGTTGAATGGGAAATCGAGAAAAAATGAACCAAGCTGTGAGAGGAAAGCTAACAAAATTGGGGAATATATTTGACACTCTCCTGATCATTTTTATGGGCTATTTTTTTTTCATCAAGGGCCTAAAATGAACCCAGTTGACCTGTCTAAGTACACTGGGGCAGCACCTCTTACAGTATATGCATCCTTTGTAATTAGCCTATGTACTGCTGCCCCCATCCTCCAAAATAAAAAAATTGTGAAGGAGAGTAGGAGGTGGCTGTACAAAGGCTATTTGCAATGCACTTTTAAGGAGATAAAACCTTTGAATAACTTTCTGAATATCACATATAATGACTATATTTATTATTCAACTTCACCAAGTAGAAATAAATAACCCGCATATAGAGTACAATGATACACAACTATTCACTGAAGTGGAGGATATTTACCAAAGTGGTGGACATTTTGCATACCATTTTGCAGCTAGATAAATCTCCACCACTTTTGACAACAACGAGGTGAAAAATTATTTTATTACATACCACTTTAGTTTCTTTCTTTCAATATACCAAAAAAAATGGTAATTAAACTCTTGACTCATGATTTTGTCTCATCAGCAATTCAAAGGTAAATAGTAATTAACATGCACAATCAGTGTACATGAAAGGCACTATTCACCTGTGTGGTATAAACTAAGACGTGATATTTGAATGTTGTTGGTTATTATGGCACAGCTCATAAAAATACTCAGCAATACTACACACCAAAACATCTAATAAGGTAAATATAATAGCTACGAACACAAACTGAATTTAAACTAATATATGCACAAAAATTTGGTCTTAAAGTGTTAAATAAGTCTTAAATACACATTTCATTTCAGAATACATTTATATCAATATGCAATAAATTATTTAATTTTTTATTTCAATAATACAAATGGTAAACTGCATCTCCGACTCATTTTGAGGTTTTTATGCTGTCAGCTTTATGTCATAAATTTGTCAATGGCCAATATGCATTATCATAGTATAACATTCTCATAAGTCTTACCTAGTAGTTACTGTAAACTTGAAGGAATGAATTATTACCTTAACAGAGGTTCTTCTTCTTCTTAAGTGTTTCAAACTAAATTTCCTACTGATTATTGTCACTATCACCATTTGGAGGATTCATTGCTTTGGCAAGATAGTTAAGTCCACAATCAATCTGATCTCTCTGTATTATTGGCTTGTGATGATTTACTGATTGCTCTCAACAATGTGTGTTAGCCTAGGAGGGTTGAGTTTTTCCTTCAGTCTGTGAACTTTCCTCTCCTGCTGACAAAGACTTGTTGTTTAACTCTTCCTGTAACAAACAAAAGTCATTCCCATCAGGAACTTTTAATGAATTTTGGAAAAGTTCCTCTTTGTATTCAAATTGCTCATCTGAATAATCAGCTTCTTGGGAAGGAAAGGAAGTAGAATTCTTTACTGTGGTTTTCTCTGATACTTGAGACACTGCTGGTTTGTTAGAATCATGATCATTTGGCAAAACTTCAATGTCATGCCAGTTAACATTTTCTGTCTTCTTTGGATCAGTGTAGCAATGATTAGAAGGACCTGTTTCCACTTGCTCTGCTTCAGAGGGCTTGCATGAAAGCTGTTGGATTTTGCTGCTCAGATATCTATCTTCCCCACTGTAGTATTCCCAATTAAAAAGAAGGTCTCTGCCAGTAAACTCACTTTCATCTGGATCAAAAATCACACTGTTGCTCCTGAGGCTTGGGGCTCCTTCTATACCAGAATCGTCATCACTTTCAGGAAGGCAAAACACATTGAAGCTGTGGGATCGCCCATAAGGCACATCTTGGCTCAGGTTAGTATCACCCTGGAGATTTTCAGGACTGCTACTTGCACGTGACTTGATAGGGTATGAGTTGAGTTTGGCAGTTTCCTTCTGTGTGATGGGTCTCTTATCGAGGATCAGCTTCTTACCTTTAAAGTAAGACAGGACAACAATCCTGTAGGGCTTCACTCTCGTAAAAGGGTTTCCAGCAACTGTCAGGTACTTCAGATGGGAAATCAAACATAACTTAGAAATTTCCCTCACAACATGGATTTGATTGTGACTCAGATTCAATTCAATGAGTCCAATGAGACAGTCTAATCCATTGACTGTCTCAAGATTGTTGTAGCTGACATCAAGTGACTTGAGGTTTGACAGTTCTCTTGGCATTCCTGTGATGAAGTGGATGTTGTTGTGAGACATATTCAGATATACGAGACTTGGGCAACATAACTGTTGTACATCCAAATGAACAAATTCGTTATAGCTGACATCTAGATTTTGTAAGACAGGCAAGAGTTTAAGAGAGGCATCCAATGCTGCCAGTTTGTTGTGTGTTACAGTGAGAGTCGTAAGCTGACACCATGGTTGAACAACTATTCGGTTTTGCATCAACCTTGCTGTTGTAACACTTCTCCATGACTCTGCAGGACCTTTTATTTTGGGTGCTAGACGCTTCTCAGTGGCACAGTCTACAAGGAGCTCTTTTAAGGTGGTCAAACAGTATCTGGTTGTCAGATTTGTAATCTGTGCTTGAACTTTTGACATATTGTTTATAAGTGTCAATGGGCAGCCATCAATTATCAGACTGCTTAGAGACCTAAACAAGGAAATATCAAATTCCAGATGACTAGAAAGCTCTTGTGAACTTGTAGCCTTGTTCAAAATACTACTAACACACAGTGATTTCAGCTGATATATAAAATCATATAGATTTCCTAGATCTCCAGAATCTGCCTCGTCTACTGCATTAGTCGGTTTCGGTAACTTTAGCTGCCGCGTTAAACAGTAAAGCTGAGTAGGTACAAAAGTGAAACTTTCTCCCTTGGCCAACACTTCCTCACCCCTTTGAGACAAATCCTTCGCTAGGGCATTTGTCACAGCCATGACATCGTGCCTTTGGACCTCTAAGAACTCAACAATTTCAGGAGAACTCGACACGTAGGTACTACTGTTCACTAGTCGCTGCAGGTAATGTTCTAATGCTGCTTTCCTCTTCTCAAGAACCGACAATGCCATATTTGATATAAGCTTTTTCGGTGGTAACATATCCTTAGGGATGCCGTAAAGTTTTACCAGTTTTTTGTGGAGTTCATCAAATTCTCTGTACCTCCGAAACACGAACCAGTGATTGGACTTAGTCATTACATCGATTTTGTACAGTGCATGAGGTGAGGGATGTGTTCTTTGCCATACTTCCCTAATGACGACATGTTTGATTGAAGGAGACGAGTCACTTTCGCTATCAGACCTCAGTCGTCCACGATCCTTTCTCCATAAAGCACTCCCGGCTGGAGGAAGGAAACCTTTCAATGAAGTCATTCCCACTAATTAAAACGAACTATGTATTCTTGCCTAGATTTTTGTAAAACAAATTCGCCCAAGTGATGTTTATATGATTTCTGTTTGAGAACAAAATGATTCCCATGACTCTCACAAAGCTTCAGTTCTTTTTCACTCAGGCCCAGACTTTCTCGTCAGTAACCCAAGTAGTCTTACATAAAGTATCATTCTCTTCATCTCTTCTCGGGTTTACGAATGGCCTCCTGCCACACTAGGAAAGAGTTTACCTTTGTGATTATTGGAGGAGGCATCTCTGGAGTGTCATGTGTAGAATACTTGTCATCGTTATGTTCAGAAGAAACAATCGCTCTTATAACAGCTACAGATATAGTCAAAGCGACTTGCAACCTTAAGAAGTTCGGCAGAACACTAGAGGAATTCGATGTAGAGGAGAGATCAGCTTCTTTACTGTTTGAACAGAGTCCTAATGTTGTAAGCATACAGTCAGTTGTCGTTGGTGTTCATCCTCAAGGTGCGTATGTAAGGTGATATTAGAAAATATATCTACCATCTATGTGCATTACAGTAAAACGTGTACTTAATTTAACGTTTCAGTCCCAGCCACATGTAATTTTTAAACAGCTCTATTTCTATCCTTAACATTAATTAAGGAAGACCAAGTAATCGAACAAGTTTGCTGTTCGTTTACACGTGGGTTTCCCTGTTAGTTTGAATTTTGAGGTGATAGGATAAAACGCGGTTTTCAGTTACTAAAACAAGGAATGACCCTAAATGACCTAAAACGACTAAAAATGACCTTTAGGGACCTCTAAAATGTCCCAAAACGACCTAAAATGACCTTGACTTTGCGGTGCTGACAAAATCTGGATCGGACTGGATTGGACGGGATTGGATCATGGATCAAATCTCAGACTAGATCACGAATCAGATCACGGACCAGATCACAGATCTGATCTTGGATCATGGATTAGATCATGTAAAATAAAATTAGAATTTTTGCGTGACAAGTCAAAATAAATTCTGTGTGACAAAATAGAGTGTAGGTCCCTCTGGGAGTTTTTTTTCACCCAAAACCCCCATTTAGTCACTTTCACAGCTGTGTCAAGGAGTGTTGTGTAGTGCCACCATGGATGAAGGCAAGCAAGAGGTATGTATCATTTTATCATTAAGGTAAGAAAAACGTGATACAATCCACAGTTGCTTCTTGAAGTCCTCGGGCTTCCTCTATTGCTGGCGCATGAGGCACATTTGAAGCTGTAGTTGGCAAATTGGTTGACCTTAGTACTCCACATTGCAAACTCAAGTCTTGGGTGCTATTTGAGATGCGTGACCTCCTAATTGCTGCTCAGATCAAAGACAAACTAGAAAAAATTTTGAAAAACCGTCTGAATTTTTGACAAAACCCAAAAACCAAATGCTAAACCAGGTAAAATCTGCAACTGGAAATGAACAATTAAATCCAATCCTGTCTGGTCCAATCTAGATTTTGTCGACACTGCATTGTCCACATAACTCAGGGTCGTATTAGGTTATTTTGTGTCATTTTAGAAATCACTCAAGGTCATTTTATGTCATTTTAGATCATTTTAAGTCATTTTAGGTCATTTTAGGTCAATCCTTGTTTAATTGACTACCAATAAAATGCACACTCTATCAAATCCCTTCATTTATGACTTGCATGTTAATGTGTCAGGTTGAATGAACTCCGTTGTTTAATGATCTAACAGTGTTTACTCAATGAAAATACGCTCAGTTAACATAGCCTAAAACTAACAAGATTGACTTTACCCTCATAGGGATCTGTGATAGAGAGTTTGTCAAAAAAGAGAAAGATTCCCTTTTTTTGTCCTTTTGAAATGAGACTTTTTGTAGGTACTCTATATAAACATTTCATTGAAGTGTTACTAATTTCAGCTCAAATTGCTATGCTGTTAAAATTTATTTTATTTCTGATTGTATTTATTAACTTTAGAGCACAGTATTATAACAGAGAGTGGTAACAAGTATTACTACAAGAAGCTGTGCATCTGTACAGGAGGAACACCCAACCTTATTACCAGACATCCTTGTGTTATTGGCATTAGAGATACAGAGAGTGTATTACAGTTAAAGAGTAAGCTTTCTCAGGCTCGTCGAGTAGCTATTGTTGGAAATGGGGGAATAGCTTTAGAACTTGTGTAAGTTAGTTGAAAGATCTACAATTTTACTCTTTTGGCTTTGAAATTAATGTATAATTATTACTCATGAGTCATCCTCATAATTTTTAAGTTTTCGTCATTGTTAGTTAGCTTCAAGTACTGAGTTTTGCATTCAATCTCTCTTCTCTTTCCAGTGGCAAGTCTACATCATGTATAGAGGTTTCATCCCAGTGGAACTTTGCATTCTATAAGTTTTTCCTCACCAAAATTATTTCTCCCCAGCAAATTCAAGAAGGAGCTCTTTAAAGGTGGTCAACAAAATCTGGCTGTCAGATTTGTAGATTTTCACAGCAGAGCCCTGTCATTCCCTGAATTTTTCTCAAGACAAAACATGTCTTTTCTTAGACAAGATCATGATATAGATCCATCAACATAAAAACTTCTTGCTGTAACCCACATTTTGGCAAGTACAACCTGTTAAAAAAACAAGCTGGTCTATGATTGTTAACATGTATTTAGTTTAGTTGAAGTAATTCCCCCAAAATCAGAAGTCGTTTTTGTCCAGACTTGATTGAAAGAATAAAATTAGAATAAAACTAGGCCACATATAATCAGCATCACCACTTTTTTTGTAGGGTAATGTGTGGGAAAACATTTCAAGTGTTTACTGTGTTGCTTTGGTTTTTGAAGTGTGGAAATGATCCAGTTTAAGGTGAATTAGTGATTCTGATTATTTCACATTACATCACTGCAACATAAAGCACATTTCTCTTCATAGGTATGAGATGTATGATTGCCAGGTATTGTGGGCCATTAAAGATGAAACCATTGGAAATGCATTCTTTGATGAGGGAGCAGCCACTTTCTTTCTTCCCCACATTGAAACCAACCAACAAGTTTGGAAAGAAAAAAAGAAGTTTATGACGCATACTGTGAAGAGAATGAAGTATGGTATAGAGACTGTTGAGAATAATAAGCATGGTTAGTATTTTTGTCTTTTCCAAAGCTTACTGAAATTTCACTTAATCCAGGGACCCACAAAGACCCAAGTTTGTGGTGTATTGACATAGTTTACCAGTATTTCCTAGATTAAGCACCCATGCCCCAATAAGCATCCCCTCCCAAATAAACACCCATCCCCAGGGCCATAGTGTCAAACAAGCATCACCCATCCTCCCTCACTTTCTTAAACAGTAGGGATTCAAGGAAAACCTGTTTCTATTGCCACTATAGTTATAACTTTTTAAGCTTCAACTAATAATAAGTGAGATAATTTGGTTTTATCAACTGAGCTTCTTTGTCTGTTGAAGGGCTAACTCTCGAAACATCAGCTTTAAAACTCTTTACACTGGCCAATTTACATTAACTCAGTTGATAAAACCAAATTATCTTGTTATACTCCCCCACTGATGCAGCACCACAGTTTCTTTAGAAACTTACCCCTTTTAAATATGAAGCACCCCCCTCAATTAAACAACGCTGCAATACAGTGCAAGTGCCCCTCCTTTTCAGCTAAAATTTTAGATAGGGCCTAGGGGCTTATTCAGGGAAATGTGGTGCATGCCAATATCACTGTTGTTAATCATGTAGATACATGTAGCCTTTGTATTGTGGAAACATGTGGGTAATAACTAGTGACAGCCTCTAACCCCTGCCCAGTTTTCTTTGACGAAAACACCTTAAAGTGTTAAACTGAATAAAGGTTAAGGTTGCAGGAACTTATTAAAATACTAAAAAAAGGCATTTTTGTAATGCTGATTTGTTACAAGAAATTATTTATCCTTGCTGGAACTGAGATTTAATTAGGCTTCTTTTATATGGGTTTTTTTATTTACTGGTATTGCTTGCTTTGGTTTACTTAATTTTTGTCAGAAGCCTGTTATCATGGAAATCCCTCCAACACTTTGAGTGGTGGAGCTTTGGGACCTGACTGGTGTTCAGACTTCTCTCTCTGTGGTGCCAGCAGCAAAGAGAAAGGTTACAGACAGGTTCATGTGGAATACAAATGTGAATTTAAACAACTACTTAACCCTGAAGAATTAAAAAGGTGTGGTGAGAAAGAGTCACCCTTTCCATCATTAAATGACAGTTTATTAGATTCTGCTGATTGGCCAGTGTATATCCAACTTTCAAATGGAAAAATATATGGCTGTGACTTCATAGTATCAGCAACAGGTGTCGTTCCAAACACACAATCATTTGTATCATGTGCTCCATTTGACACAGCAGAGGATGGTGGTCTATTGGTGAACTCAAATATGCAAACTAATCTTGTAGACATTTATGCTGCTGGGGATGTTTGCACCTTTGGATGGGATCCTGCACCTCACTGGTTGCAAATGAGATTGTGGAGCCAGGCACGGCAAATGGGAATGTTTGCAGCAAAGTGTATTGCAGCTCATTTTTCAAATGAAAAAATACCTTTGGACTTCTGTTTTGAATTGTTTACTCATGTAACTCAGTTTTTTGGATATAAAGTTGTTTTGCTAGGAAAATTTAATGCCCAAGGACTGGGAAATGATTATGAGCTACTTCTGAGATGTGCAAAGGGTGACGAGTATGTGAAAGTTGTTTTGCATGAAGACAAAATGTGTGGAGCTGTTCTTATTGGTGAAACAGATCTAGAGGAGACCTTTGAAAACTTAATTTTGAATCAGACAGATTTAAGTGCCATCAAAGATATTTTGCTTAACCCTGAAATTGATATTGAAGATTACTTTGACTAATATAAATGCATTAAATTATCCTATAATGTAAAATTTGAGACTGTCTGGTTATTTCAATCCGTACAGAAATATTGTGTAATAGAGTTTATTGATCAATGGAACCATCCAAGCTGTTCATTCTATTCAAAATTTTCAAGATAATTAGTTTATTTTTTGGCCATTTTTCACAGAGAACTAATGGTGAGACTGCAAATGATTCTGGGAGGTGGCAAGTCTACATCATGTATTGATCCCTTCTAAAATTTTATTGTAGCACCCCCTCCCCCTCATTGATTAGCCTTTAATCTATCTTCCAAAATAAAGAAATCAGGACTTGAGAGAGATTTTCTCCAGAGGCCGTACATTTCTTACCACCACCATTAAAAAAATATATGTGAAACTATGACACAGCCACAGCTTTGAGATTCCAGAGAGGCAGATGGTTAGAACATTAAAAAGAGACTATTGAAGCCTAGATGTTCGACACCTTGCAAAGCAACCAGGCTACTTTCCCAAGGACAAATCAAGGCTTCAAATTCTTTTTTCCATCTCCCAGCTATCTGCCTAAACAAATCAAAGGACAAGGGTATGGAAGACACTTTGGACAGCAATCAAAACAAGCAGGCTTAATTGCCACCACACTTTGAAATGTACTAATCCCTGTTTGAAAATACAAATTGTTGATGAAAACGTTTACCAGTATTCCAGAATCTCTTTCCCTTGCTATCCCCTTGCTAACAATGACCTAGTTCAATGTCTAGCTGCTTAAAAAGGCTGTCAAACTCAAAATCAGAAAGTCAGTACTTAAAACAAGAAGAATCTGGGATCAGTTGCTGTGAATCGAGGTTTTGATTATATTTATTGCTTCAGACTTTATGAAGAAGTAACCATATCCAAAATAACCCCTGTACAATTTAGACTTTACTGATATTGGTCTACAAAAATACCATGGTACAGAGATTTCCAAAACAAAGAAAGGTATATTTACAAAGGTTTGATTTTTTTCAATAGGTCGATTTTAAGGGGGCAGAGGTATTCCCCTTGGGTCAGATAAGCTGGGATCTTGTAAGTTCTTCATAAGCTGGCTGAGCCATCGTTTGGTAGATGCATCATCCTTCAGACAGTTAGAAAATGTACCATCTTTCAGTTGATCAGGTAGACACTGTCTAAGAGCTTCACGGGCCCTAAATATATGGCAACATCAAATTAAAAAAGAAATTGTACTGTTAAGTAAATCTCCACTTGACAGTACTATTGCAGTTCAGGAGAGGCTGAAACTGAAAGCGCATTTTTGTTTAGCAGCTTCTAGAAAAACAAGTTACAGTTAGCTGCACAGAAGCCCAAATAAACCCCAAACTTAATCAAATGCGCTCGAGAAGGCTCTGCAAAGATAAATGATGTTCCCAGAGTCTACTTATCTTAGAAAGCCTCTGATAACATTACTGAAGTAAGAATTTTGAGATAGTAAAGGCAGAGCCACAATAGCTACCTTAGTGGTTACCTGACAAAAGGAAAATCAGACTCTAAACTTTCAATCATCATGTATCAAATGCTAACACACCTGGGATTGTCTGAGAGGCGAAGGTAACACCTAACCACATGTTTCAGTAGCCTTGCTGACTGGTCCTTAGCTAAAGCTAACACCATCTTCCCCTGAAACCCAATCATAAATCATATAATTTTATATTTGTTAAGTGCTTCATTCTTTCTCAACCCATAGTGGCACAAACCAAGTGACCAAGAGCTAACTTCAACCTTCATCATAACATCTAATGAAGTATTCAGTAGGACAGATGAATACACATTAATGAGCAAAAGCAAAGCATTCTCTCCATCAATCTAATCCAACAAGTTCCAAAGCAGTATTAGTTCCTATTCTAAAAAAACTTCCTTACAGACAACAAAGAAGATTCAAATATGTAGTACTATACAATCAGTGCCTAGAATTTTACTTACCAAGATCATGGCCACATGAGAAAACCTCTCATATGTTTGGCAAATATATGATAGCCCTGTCTCATCAAGAAGAATTTTTTGCAATATAAATGTTGCTACCTGGGACAAAAGAGAGACAAATTTAACTGTTTGAGTCAAATCAAAATCCAAATTAAATCTAATTGTTAACTCTCCCCTCTTGCTGCTACACATTGTAAATTAGTTAAAGAAGTCGGTGTTAGATCAAGACAACAAGCTCTACCTGATAAGTTTGAGTCTTCTCACCACCTGTTTGGTGGGTAATGTATGCACATTAAGGGAGAAGTTACATGTAAGTGACTTCTGGGAGTTAAAGGGTTGATTGAGCAAACAGAATCTAGTACATTATAAAGGCAGATAGCTGCTGAAAATTGATTACCCTGTCAGCTACGATGTCTAATCTCTTACCTTATTTGTTACAATTAAATAATTTTGAACCTTCATTACAAGAGACAACTATTAACCCTATTTTGGCAGTTGCAGGGTAAAGAAACACCAATTAAAAATGCTATTGATACATTAAAAAGTCTTTGTAAAGAACTCTAAATAAGTTATGGTATATAATGTTACAATGGGAGACAAAAGCACCCTGGTTCCATGGGTTTGTCAAAGGAAGGTGTGACAATCACTTACAGTCTTTGACAGTTCACTACCAGATTCCATGATTCTTAAGCACAAAGGAATTATTTCTGTTGTGAGGAGGAAATTGATAACTTCAGCTTCATCAGTCTGAAAAACAATCATAATAATACTTATTAGATTATTTATAACTTTCCCACAGAGAAAGATCTTATTTTATTATGTTAATCAGATAACATACCTTTACTAGAGCTCCTACAACTCCAAGGCTAGTTAATCTCAGATACTCAAATGGCCTTGTTTTACTTGTGGTGTGAAGGAAAGGATAAAGGAACAAGGGGATGTGTGCTGTAGAGCAAAATAAGTATAAAATACCATGAAAGTACAAGAGTTATTAATTTTATAAAACAAGTTTCTAAGCAAATCGAGAAATGTAGATCACATCCTAAAGTGTAAAAACTTGTAATAATATTTTTCTCATTGACATCAACACAGTCATTACCTCACTTAACAACACACAAGGCAATAAAAAAGGGTGATCATAAATTAATTTATTACAGCTAACTCCTTGTTACTCATATCAAGTTTGATTTCCAGGATTAGCACCAAACTGTACTTAATGATCTACTTTCATTTTACACTTGATGAATCAAACCATAAAAATTGAATGAATCAAAATTCCACTGTCTCAAAGTGATTTTAACATTCAATAAGTGAAGCCCCTTTGTTCTAAAGCTGACTCAATACACTGTTTGAACAGTTATAAACCAAGCAAGAAAAACATGATTTCTATTTCCTGTCAATTTACCAGGAGTCCACTGTAATTGAAAAGAGTTCATTTTATCTGACTTGTTTATTTTCCTCTGAATTATTAACATAAGTCTACTGTAAATGTGAGAAGTTCATTTCATTTTGACTTGTTTATTTTCCTCTGAGTTATTATAATAAAGGGCTTTTTGAGTAGCACTAGCACTGCTTGCATGTACCGTAGCATTACATGCTCTAGATGCACATGCAATTGCCACACACTGCTCGGGTGAAACACAAACACTGCACCTCACTAATGCACCTGCATGTAATCAAATACCCATATGCACATATGTTTGTGTAAATCAGTAATCAGAACTCATCCAATATGTGAGTGTTATGTACCCATTATACATGCTTGATATAATTCTTCTTGCACATGTGTACAAGTTCATTTGTGTGTCTGTTTTTTTTTTCCCCACAACAGTTGTGTCCCAAAGTATCTCCACTTTCCCTCTGATGTTTGAATGACTGACTTATCGTAAAAATCTTTACAAGCCAAAAAAAATATTACCTTGTAAAAATGCTGACCTAGTTTCAGGATGAGAGGCAACACATTGTAGAAGAGCCAGAGCATTACAAACACGGTTAGACTGATGGGCCTGAATAAAGTAACAAAGTATGTAACTGAATTTTTGCAACACTTAGATTAACATATTTGAAATAAAAATAAACAAGAAGCTTAGTATGTCATTCTATAGTTTTTCATCAACCATAAATTACTTACCGTGAGATTTGGAGGGTTTATAACTGGATAAATGTTAACTATTTCCTGCAACAATGCCGCAATGGTTCCTGTAACACAAAAACAGAGTAATTATAATAAAATTTTGAACCATTAACATGCACATGCACATGTAGCATTATTTTACACAATGTACATTTAGCTTCTAGAAGAAATTTTATCATAAAAAGAATCACAAAAAAATTACTTGTCCAACTTACCAAATGAATGCCACAGCATAGGTGCTAAATCAGGAACAACTTCCCTTTTTTTGCTGAGTCACAGAAAATGATAAAAGTTAATTGATTAAAGTTTACTTAGAGGAAAAAATGCATTTTGCAAGACTGTCTTAATCATACATCAGATTGTTGAAAGTGCACAAACAGAATTAATTATAAAATATTGCATAGGGCCACAGTATTATTGAAAGATTGGAAAGATATCCATGAAGTGGTCAATTCTTGATTGAGTGATGTTAAATTGCTGCACTTACTAGGCAAGGTACTTCTAATAATTATTTAATGCTTCTGTAAGTGGCATTATTGACTAAATATTGGATTCTGTAATCAGTTCAAACCCTTAACATCCCCCCTGCCAGCCCACAGGCATTTTACTCTCATCCATGCCTGAAGGGTGGGATTTTTAACCTTCTCTGGTTGGGGTGGGGAATTTGAGCTGGGGACTGACAAGTCTTTCCAGCAAAATAAATGTGTTTTATCTTTTAGTATAGACTGAGAAGTTTGAGGTAAAAAGTTTGTTTTTGTGAGCAGATGGGTCAGAAGGAAACTGGTCTACTAAAAAGACACCATTGCTAATCTTGCCTTGGACAAAATGATGTTCAAATCCAGCACTTCAGTCGAGCATTTAACACAATTTTGGCCATGGAAAAGTTCAAATGCCCAGGAGTTTGCCCATGGAGAGGGGGAAGATATTGAAGCTTTAAACTGATAGAAGCATTACTACCTATGAAGGACAATATTCAACCCTCTAAGTTACCAGTAACTGTAGAGAGGTGTTACAGTTGTAATGTTATCAATATTTTCAAGTAACAATAATTTCAACAGTGTTCATCCTCTACTGTGCATAATACCACTTAGGGATGATTTATAACATAAACATAGGCTCTTTTCTTGCCTGCAAGCTCATTTGGCACAAAAAGGGGCGTATGATAACCATGCATGACAAAACTAGATGTTCACAAAAAACTTGAGATGTTGTGAATGACCTAGAACTCTTTAGAATAAGCATGTATACATTCCAAGATGTTATCTACTAGTACAATTGTAAATTCAGAGGTTTCAATAACTTTTGAAGTACATGTAGATGGTAAAAACTGCAAAGTAGGTGGCTAAACGAGGTTTGATCTTCACTTTAATGTAACATATTTCAGAAAAATTAAGGCAGATGGCAAATTGTACTGGTTTCCACCCCTTACTGCAACCCTTGAAATTTGTTTAGTCTTCATAACTGCTCAATGGAAAATGTATTGATATTTTCAGAGGGAGAAATTACATGACAATTTCTTCTTTCAGTCAAATAGTTGAATTGTTGAACAAAATCAACTTGAAATCAGTTCAAATTAAAACATATACCTGAGCTCCAGCAGTGCATGCTCTCTTGTATCAGGACTAGACAGCTCAAGAACCCAAGTATAAATTTTCTCTCTTTCCATTTCAGACAAGTTTGAAGCCTGTGTAGGATGGCTGTGAGGAAATCCTCGCTGTAAATTAGCAAAAAAAATGGTTGATCAAATTGCAAGCACTTTAAGTTACAACAAGGGTGTTATTCTACCTACATATGCAGATGAAATACCATATATATATCTCAGGTATATATATCTCAACTCACAGAAACACTTTCTCAAGATTTCTGCATTTTGGTGGAAAACTCTGAAGTCTATGATGAAAGAACCATGATGTACTTCTAATTCTTTTCCTTTTGCCTCACCTATATGCTATATTTTACAATGTAGGTTGTTTTCATGACCATGGGCATCCTTAAAAATAATGCTTTCGGAAATTTCTAAATGTATGCTCTGTCACAGTCAGTGAGATATTAAGGTACAAAATAACAAGTGTAAATGAGATCCTTGTTTTAAAGGTCAAATATGGCAGCTAGATGATCACAGGATCTTTTCTTGTTTTGCTCTTATAACTGCTATGGTTATTTAAATAACTACTACTAACACTAACATTTTCCACTTTTCTAAGACATTTTTTATACGCAAGTCAAAAAGTTCTTGTCTTTTCTCAAAACAAAATGCTGCAGTTATCATTTATGTTTCATTACTTTATATGGCCAGGGTAAATACTGAAGCACATGAAGTCACAAACGTTCTTGGAGAGACTAAATTGTAGAAAATGTAATATGGGTTACTTTACGTACTCCCTTTACATAGATCTGCAGATGATTTGTTTTACTATCAAACATCATATAAGATTATTTGCATATTACATAGTGTGTCCTAGGATTACAACAGAGTGATTAAGTTTCTTCTGTACTCATTATCATTGACGTAAAGAGTGGAAAGAGGAAATATTGATCATTATGATGTTCTGGTATTCTGCGATTGCTGTCTGGCAATGTTCCCGGGGAAGTGATCCTTACATTTCCAAACTTTGAAAAAATAACTATATAACTCGCGAGAATTCTAAAGAGACTATATACTCTGCAAATTCTTCCAACAGATTGTAAACGTTTAGATAGGTGATCATACTTAACTATATCTACATCAAAGGAAAACAAGTGTAAATAGTTGTCAGCCTCCATTACTCGCTTGCTCTGATTTTAAAGACTAAAATTTCATCATAAAACCAAACTTAAAAGGGCTCACATTTTTATACAATTTCAACCGACCTGAGACACAGAAAGAAAGATTGTTTGGCGAAATAACGTAGGTAAAAGCAAACGTTTTACAGTGAAACGAAAACGAATCAAAAACAACAAACGACGCCTTCTTTCCTTTTACACATTACAAAGCAGGTTATGTACGATTTTCAACGCAATGGCAATTTGAATGAAATAGTACCTGTTGTCCAAGTTGATGCATCATATTTCTTTGCTTGTTCTCTGTTCTATAAGTATATGTTGATGGTTCTCACAAACAGGACCTTTCCTTTAGAACTGGAAACATGATGATTCAAAGCACTTTTGAGCCGCCGTTGTTTAGGGTTAGCGGCAAACTTTCGTAAGGAAAAACTGGGTGCTAGTTAGCCACGAAGACAAGAACCGATTGATGTCGTTTCAGATATGGGGTGACAATTTTCCTTTATTTTCAGTCGGAGTGGTTATGTTACTAATATAAAATGCAGGGGCTATGGAGCTTAATAGGAAAGATTGGCACTGGTGCTGCTCAAAATTTTCCCTACGAGATTGGTGAAAAAGCAGGGAGCCTAGCGGACAAGTCTGTGTGGACACTACATGAAGGGAAAAAAAAAGTAGGTTGTCCATCAGTCATCAGCGTGTCTTTATGTGGTTGTCTAGGTAGAGGTATGAAAAGGAACTTTTTGCTTTGTCTCAAGGGTACTGGAGAAGCTGTGTCTGTGTTTATTCACGATGTCAAGTCATCTTCAGAGGACAAGGTACCGCAAACCTTACCTGTACATGCACATCTATCGTGGTTTAACTAAGCCTTCGTTTCCTGTTCTTCAAACCAGCTTGAATTTTATTTTCCTTCACTTTGTGCCCAGCATCAAAATCCTAGACAAGTTTTCATTTTGAACTGATTAATTGGGGTGTACTTGTAATTAGCTAGTGTGATTAGTACAGTAACTACTATTGCGATGTTAGCTGTCACAGTATTAGTTCCTGGTACTGTCTTAAAATTACGGTAAATTGTACCCAAAATATTTAATTCTCCATCACAGAAACTGTCTTTAACACAAATTTTCTTCTTTTTCTTGCTACCTATCTTAAGATTTCTTTCATTTGTTAAGGTTCAAACAGCCAAGTTAGCCCTCAGAAGACTGAAAACTCTTCGACATCCTAATATTGTGAGGTATATTGATGGTCTTGAGGTGAGTATTACTGCAGACTGTTATTCAGTACCAATTTTTTCCAGGTATGAACTTAAAGTATGGTACCAGTCAAAGGTTATCTGGGAGTCATAACTCAAATACAGAACTTTTACTCAAAAAAATTCACAAGGAATTGATATTTGTTGACATCAGTACACTTAAGTTCTTTAATACTGTGAAATTTACATACAATTTAAGAGCATTAATTACAGCAGAAACTCAAAAAGTCACACATTTTGTAAACTAGTAAGAATTAGAAACAAATGTATCAGGCACTAGGAGACGGGAACTTATTTGTATTGTAGCGCAAGCTATTCCCCAGGGGCCCCCCTGAGTGACCTTACCTTTGGGGTCACATGACTCATCGGTAGACCATGTGCTAATATAGTAGTGTTGTGTCTATTAAAAGCAGTTTTAACGCCATGTTTACTGTGATTTGTGGCGTTACAGTATGCTAGATATGGTGGTTATTGTCAACAAGTAATCACATGTTTTTTCATGTGTGATATGGGAGAAATCATCACTTGGATATTTTTCAAAAACTGTTTTATCTCAAATTGGACTCAAAATCATGTATTACCAATACAAGCTAATGAATTCTTAGGTAGATCGTAGATGTAAGATTCAGACATTATTATTCATGTTTTCATCTCTGTTTACTTTACAGTCTGATACAGTTATTTATCTGGTGACAGAGCCTGTTCAACCACTGGAAGTACTACTAAGCGAAGATGAGAACTCAAAGGCTGATTTTGCCATTTCTTGGGGATTGCATCAAATAACAGTATGTGCACTCACAGTATGGTGTATTATTGAATACATTCAAGTTTGGAAATGCAGCCCTTTAAAGCTGTTTCTCAAGGGGAGCATTACTGTCCAAAATTGAACATCAGTTGTTTCTGTCAACATTTTGCAAATTCTTTAGCAGGTGGTCCTTTAAGCATCCTCTCCTTTTAGTCTGAATTATGATATTATTTATGCTGATCAATAATTTAATTTCCTTAAAGCTGGTTTTACCTGCTTTAGTTCCTCATATACCATGTTTCTTTTCCTTTTTAGGCTGGTCTCAGTTTTCTGATAAATGATTGCAGTTTGATTCATGGTAATGTGTGCATGGCATCAGTGTTTGTAGATATTGCAGGCGAGTGGAAGCTTGGTGGCGTTGATTACCTTAAACCTGTTGATCCACCATCAAACACTGAAGAACCTGATCTACCTAGACTGCCCGTTTTACAAGTTTATGAACCTCCAGAGGGAAGAAAATATAGTAAAGGCAACAAGAAGGCTGAAAAATGGTAAGGCTTCAAAATAGGGTTTGCTTAATGGAACATTAAGTTGTCTAGATGTTGATAACCAGATGCAGCATCATTAGATGTATCAAAACATGTGATAACACTGGCATGTGTTATCTGTTTTATGAAGAAAAGTTGCTGATGTATTGGGGTTTTAAAAAAGGACTTTTTTGATGGTTTTAGGCATAGGCTATACCTGTGAGCATGTCAATTTGCTTACAGTTGTCCCAGTAGTTTTGATTCATCCAATGCATAGTGGCAGACTTCCCTCTAAAAAGTCACATGTGAATCTCACAATGACCCTTATAGCAAGTAAAAAAACAACTTTTATCATGCATTAAACTCTGATTTAGATGTCAATCCTTTGAATTTTTTTCAGTTATTTGATACATACTTTGCAGGTCAGCAGATATGTGGGGTCTTGGATGTCTGATCTGGGAAGTGTTCAATGGTCCGTTGTCCAGGACAGGTGCCTTGAAGTCTGTTGGAAAGATTCCAAAGAACTTGGTTACAGACTATGTACAACTTGTAGGTGCTAATCCTAAGAGCAGACCAAACCCAGCAAAATTTCTACAGGAATGTCGAACTCAAGGCCATTACCTTAAAAACAGCTTTGTTGATGCTAATTTGTTCTTACAAGAATTGCAGGTTTGCTTTTGATGTAATGCTTTTGATGTTGATGTTAGCTCTTATGTGAGTTGTGTTTGTATTTTATTTTCTTGTAAAATTTTGTAAGTTTCACTATTATACATCAAATGAAGTTTATTTGAGTTAATCTGGAACTTTGTTAGACATTTCCACGTCATGAATATTGCTATATTGTAGTTCCTAAACAGTTCTGATTATCAGTGAAGTGAAGCATAACAAATAATAATAATGATGATGATGATAATAAAATCACCTCTACAGTGCTGATACATTCTGTTCTGAGTGCTTTACAATCATTTGCAGAATTTAAGACCAGTGCTAAAATCTGATGGCTAATAACTGCTTCATTCTACTATCTATCACTAAGATATGTTAAAAATTAAAAGAATTGTATAATATCTACATAGCTCCTCCAGATTTTTTAAAAGTAAGATGACCTTTGAAACTTGATTAAATTAATAGATTTAATACACCCATTTTGAACTCACTGGTCTTCCCTGTAATCTGATTGGCTCTAATTGATGCGATTTATTCCCGAATTGCACCATTTTTTGGCTTTAAATCGCCTCTTTTTCCCAGCCAATGAGAAGGCTACACTAAAAACAAAACAACCAATCAGATTTCGAGGCTTGTTTAAAGTAACCAATCAAATTGCAGGAAAATGGAAGACAAAGAGTATCATGTGGCAAATTTTGCAACTTTTGTTTCCAAAACCCTTACTTTTTCCCCCCAAAAAATGGATGAATTTAATTTCAGACTGGCTCAGTACTGCATCAATAAAATATTTGAACTGACCAAGTCCTGTATTTGGGTGATTTCAAAATGGATGTAATAAAGTGGTAATTGAACCTCGTGTTGTGCAATTTTGGTCTGAAATCATATTTGTGATTTCAAATCAAACTTGCGCTGCACGCTTGTTTGATTTTAAAATCACATGTGTGATTTCTACCCAAATTGCACTCCACTCAGTCCAATTACCATTATAAATGATAAGAGAAACCATATGATATGGTGTTTTGATTACAGATAATTAGATAAATATTAGATAAATTATAAGATAAATAAATAGCGAATAATAACTATTGAAATACCTGATGTACTTTCTTCTGTTTCAATGAATATAAGCTTTTAATTGAGTTGGCTGTTTCATGATGTATACCTAAGTTGTTGCTTTTTGTTGTTTAGATAAAGGAGCAAAAAGAACAGAAGCAATTCTTTCAATCTCTCAGCTCATCATTAGACCTGTTTCCTCAACAATATTGCAAGCACAGAATTCTTCCTCAATTGCTGAATGCTTATGAATATGGATCAGCTGGTTCTGCTGTCTTAGGGCCACTGTTCAAAGTAAGATTTGCTTTCTTACCATTGCCATCTTTAATTTAAGTATGTTGTAGTTCTTTTCTCATAATTCCTCTCCTATAGATGACAAACATAGATGTAATGTGTGCACATGTGCAGAGAATATTTGGCAAATGTTTGTTTCAATCATATGAAGTGTAGGCACAATTTTAAAATCATAACAGATGGAGGTGCCAGTGCTACCAATATTTCCTTCTTGTCAGCTCCAGCATGTAAAAGTCTAAGTGTAGTCACCATAATGGTTAATAGATTTCTGTTCAATTGCAATTGAGAATCAAAAAATCTCAGTCAGGGGTTGATATAGATGACTTTGAAAAGATGAAAATCATATATGTGAACTGCAGTGTAAGAAATTGATATGAAAGCGATCTTCACAGCAATGAACACTACTTGAGCAGTAGTGAAAATAAGGCCTGAAAAAAAATTCAGGCCTGTGCATGACTTCCGCAATACAGGTACAGTGCTCTACCAACTGAGCTAACAAGCTAACTGGGAGATGGTCATAATATTGGTTTGTAATACTCTATGAAGTGTACATAATTCATCTTGGACCAAATGGCAGAATTCAAACCCAGATGACTTTTTTTTTTTTTTTAAGAACTCTACCAATGGTAGAAATATTTTTATTCTGAACTCTTATACAATACGATACAGGTTGGTAAACTCTTGGATACAGATGAATATCAACAGAAAATTGTGCCATGTGTGGTCAAACTGTTTTCATCCACAGATAGGGCAACACGCATCCACTTATTACAACAGGTAAGAAGAGGGATCATTACTATGGTAATGGTAATGGACTGAGTGGAGTGTAATTTGATCTGTAATCA